TACACAAATAAAGCTAATAGAAAAGGATGAGTTTTGAAATCACCACCGTAAAACATCAAGCTTACCGATATTGATAAAGGGTATCCCGTCATATGGGACATGTTGGGATTTCCACATCAACCTCACTGTTCCATTATCTTCTTTCACTGGGGACGGAGTCTGTCTAATTGCAAACAGGCTGTTTGTTTCTTTCTTGTATGCATTCAAAACTTGATCCATCTCGACTTCGTTCTTGACAAAACCATAGTAGCTATCACCTAAGAAAAACAGCAAAGTCATAGAAAACGTTTGAAAAACCTCTAAGCACAAGAGTACTTAAGTTCTTTATATCAGGACAGAAAGCAATGAGAAAGTACCGAAAATTTAGTGACAAATTAAAAGTTTCACGAAAAAGAAATCAAAAATTCAAAAACGCTTAATCTATTCAGTTGATATAAATAATTTCACCAGTCATTTTTTCGGCAGTTAAAAAACAGCATTTTACCTGAAAGTCTGATAGTTATATCAAATACTTTTAGCATTTTATTGATTAATAATGACTAATTGATTAAATGTTTTTCCAGTCCGAAAAAGTCGTAGAAAATTAGCCATCACTTCCCTTGTCATTAACCTTATCTCAGAAACAAGCTTACAATTAGCTTAAAGTCTTAGTAAGTCGATTTTTATGTCGCCAAGTCCATTATTTCCCATGATTAGCACCATAAGTGTCATTGCACAACTAACATATCAGCCTAAACCAGACATATCTTCTGATTCCACCCAAATATGGCATACTAAGGCATTGATCCTCACAAGACAAGATCAGTATAAATGGGCTGATACATAATAAGGCAATTGAGTTCAATTAGACAAGATGTCAACACTGACTTAAGTTTGACATGGATTTCACAGGAATATTAAAATCTCTACAATCAAATATTTTAGTTTTATTTTTTTACAGGCCAGATTTATAGCTAATATTTCTGTTGACTAGCTTATAGCTATTACATGAATAAGACATAAACATAAATCTTTGATATGGAAAAACAGGAAACAATGTATTGTAAGATGATTGAACAGACTTAGCAAAATTAATGACAAAGTAACATGAAAATTTTACCAAGAATGCTACTTTATCATTGATGGCAATACTTAGCTTAATTAATGGCAATGTAACAAACAAATGTTTTTTAATTTCCTTTTAAAGAGCTTCTGCAATGAAATTCACTTCATATGTTTTTACATATATAACTCAATGTGATAAAATTGTCAATTTTAACATTGTCCTTACCAATTTTTTGGAAATCTGCAAGATACTGTGCCCATGCTGGTTTTCCATCAAGATCAGGACCAGTGTATTCTTCAGCCGCCTCAACTTTCACTTCCTGATCTTCTGCATTAACATCCTTAGCATCGGCTTTATTTGCTGACGATGACAATGCACTAGATGCCAGTGCAAGTATATCCTGTGCAAGCGATACCTCTGATGGTGTTGGATATGCCTTGCCGGTTGCAGCTGCTTGTGCCTCAGCATTGGCAGCCACTTGAACAACTGCTGAGTCGTCTGTTGTCGATGACATTCTCTCACCTTAAATAACAAAAATGCATTCAAAAAATTATAACCAAACATTGTTGCAAAGCTAAAAAAATTGACAGTATTTACAATGAATCCTGGATTCTTTTAGCCTTTAGGCAAATGAGTTATGTTCCTGTGATTGTCTGGTTGCAAAAACTAGGGACCCATTTTTTGTCCCTGTCATTTCAGAGTTGCAGATACAATGCATGAATGTCATGAAACAATGAAAAAGTCACTCTTCTTTTGGTTAATAAAAGTTTCATAGAAAAACCACTTGACATTGTATTTAAATCTCAACTAAGATTGTAGGATATCCATTTGACATTGTAGATATCTTACAGCCTAAATCTAAAAAAATTGAAGATTTGATTTATTACTAAGTTGTTTGGCTTAGATTGTTTGCAGGGAATATGATAATGGCAAATTAACGCTATGAAATTTTTCTTTAAAGTTGAAAATTTTTCAAAAGTGGCAAAAAAGTTTTGCTTTTCAATAGGTGGGTTAGACAGAACATTTGTTTACTCAAAACAATGAACACATATGAAGTTTATATGTGCAGAATGATTTAAATATTTCCTGAACTGCCATGTTACACTGACAACTGCCAACACATGTGCTACATTTTCAGTATGCATCCTTTGAAGTCTGACTCACACCAATGACCACATATATTATCACTTAGATATTCTGACTAGACATCATTTAAGGTCGATAATTTTTCAGGAATTCATTTTTACATTAATCGTCTAAAGGTTATAAGTTTAAAACAAGATTTTTTATATCTTTCCAGAATATATATAAAGCATGCTATTTGGTGTATGGAACAGGACAGCTTGAAGGTTGCCACTCTGAGTTTCACATTATTGCAATCATCAGGCAAGAGTTGCCTGATGATCACATAAAGCATGCAAGTTGGAATAGCTTCTTAGAATCTGCCTGTTCTATAACCAAAAAGCAGTAACAGTATTCTTATGACAGACTGGTAAACAGTAATTTTCATATTTCAAAAGCACATTTTCATTTGTGAAAGTTTTTCTTCAGAGGTAATATCTGCAGTGGCCATATTGTCTTTCATTGTAGTGCTATTATTTGCTTTTCTTGATGTCTCTGTATCAATAGTTTAAAAAACCCAACAACACATTCATAGTGTCCTCAGTCATGTGCATATTCCAAGTATTGTTAATTTGATCAACATTGCCCCTTACCCAGGGTGCATTCCATGTACTTAGGTTCAAAGATCTTTGGCGTACAACCAGGCTTCTTTCTGGCCTTTGGCATGTAAACCAATAATTTTTTTTTGGCATACTTAAAATTTTAATTAGTTGGCATGCTAAACATGAAGCCATGTACATAGTTAACGTAAAATAAAGACACATACACCACAGTTTTCTCTAATAATCAGTTTTCTTTGTCTGGCGCAACAATGTTTACAGTTTTACTAACTCAACTGCTTTTATATTTTTGGCGTACCTAAACAAACGCCCTGGTGGACCTTCGGCATACAGTTGACATGGAATGCACCCTGGCCCCTTACTACTGGTCCAGTTTTTCTGCATGTTAAACAAAATCTGGCAAAGCAAAGGAAGCAATAACAACAATAACCTTACATCACAATAACAAATTCCTTTAAACTCACCAGTTAAACCTGATAGAATTTCTGCTACAGAATCACTCTGGCTTTTCCTAGAGGTGCTAACTGCAGTTGCTAACTCCTCAATTGTAATGGCTTGTCCACTTGTTACTGCCTCTAGTGGGTTCTGCAGTGATGCCATGGCAGCTGCAGTTGCTGCATCCACAGCAATAGCATTGGCAGGACCACCTTCACCATCTACTGGACCAGTGACAAGCAGGAATATAGCACCTTCTCCATCTTGACCTTGATCTGCTTGGATCAAGCTGACACCAGGAGGCAGCCCTGATATATGTGTGACTTCAGCATGTTGATCAGATGTAACATGTGATACTTGAGTCAAATTTGACAAATTGGTCTCCCCAACAGTTGTAATTGTTATGATCTGAGATCCATCAATGTTTGCATCACTTACATCAACTTAAAAAGAAAACATTTGCTACAACAGACAAACTTTAAATGTGAAGAAATACCTGGGAAATGGGTATTATTCACAACAATCAAATTCATGGATTTCCTAACAATACTGTTCTGAGTTTAATCATAGTGGGTCACATTGCATTTAAAATTTTTTAACCATAATAATAGCCTTATAATTTAACCCTTATAACAGATGTAATGATCCTCTTCATTGTGAAAACATTGGTAACTTTAAATGCCCTCTCAATATTTTTTCCACCCCAATATGCTATTCGTAATACTTGAAGATAGTCAATGCTTCACAAGAGAGCCAAAGTTTCAAACCATGTACAGTGGTGAAAAATTGATTTTGCGGAAAATTATGTCCTGCTTTTAAGGTCTGAAATTCACACAACAGCCTTGTTCTACTTTACTCCTCCTATTTAATTTAGTGCATAGGACTGTATTACCCTGGCAAAATTCTATAATGACCCCACTTTTATGAAGGAGAACAAATTCCCACCCTCTAAAGTTACTCACAGAGAACATCTTTATTTGCCTTTCCCCTTTCTAATATTGGAAAACATGTTTTGTGCCCTGGTTTGGTTCTTAAACTATAAAAAACAATTCTCACTGATTCCAGAATGTCTTGGGCCCAACTACAGCCGCCATTAATTGTCATAAAATAAATCTCACTGAAACTGAATATGCTTTTTTACTAACACAAAAAGCACCATGAAAATTTATAACGCATCCACGCGAACACTAAAAACATCAATACATGATAGGATACTATTTTCTAGATCTCACAATATACGCAAATTTGCTAATTATACAGTGGCGATTATACTACAAGGGATTTCTTGAATTGATATAAACTAGCATCTACCACAAAAAACTTTGATTAAAATACGAAATTCATTTTCCCTTTCGCGATGAAGGGGGCGTTTGGTGCGTGAGAATTGACTGATGCCCCAGAATCCAAACACATCAAACATCAACCATGCACCAGTGATTCTCAAACTAATTTACGATCAATTATCAGAAATTTTCATGCTACATAAAATGCTTGGATATTTTGAAAGATCCACTAATATCTTAGGCAAAAATCGCATGGCTTAGCGCCCTTACGGAAGGAGTTTGCTCCGCCAAGAGGGTTTAATATGGTCCGAACCAACGAACTAAATTTGGCGGTTAAAGTTCACAAATACCTTGTGGGTCGACGGGTTGAATTTCGGTCACATCAGTAGAAGCAACCGCTTCATCTTGAGTTGGTCTTTCAACTTCTTCAATGCCTTGGTCGGACGAATGAGGAACTTCGGAAATGTCCCCATCATTTGTCGATGTTTGAGCTTCACTGCCTTCGGCAACATCCATGGAGCCTTTCACGTTTTCGTCGACCGAATCACCGACAGACTGGCTTAGCGACGAGCTCTCTGTCTCCATGATTTGATTCTTATTTGGCGTTAAATATGAAATCGCAGTGATAAAATAATATTAAAAGGTTTGAGAAAGTTGTAATAGCTTTGATTTTTCCCTCCAAAAGCCTCGTTCAACTTCGTTTTCAGACGAGACTCTAACATCCACTCAGCCTACGCGCCATGTCGAGAACAAGAAGGGAAGACAAGGCGAGAACGAGGCGTTTAGTGTATCAATGCGCATGCTCTCAAGAAATCTTTCAGCTCTGATTGGTCGAAATAAACAATAGCTGTGACGTAGAGCAGGTGGCTGATCAAATTGTGAAAAGATGAATGAAGGTAACACACATCATACTTTGACAAGCATTAATTTGATAAAAAAGATAATGCTGCCACAAAAAGGCATTCATACCACCTTGCTATGCATTCATGTGCTGGCTAGGCCCTCTCTTCATAAACATTTGGGATAATGCTCCTGCATGTTTTAACACACACAGGTGTTGGTAAAATTCGGATTTCTATAACAAAACAAAATGTCAACGATAAAGGCTTTCTTGAGACTCTAAAAAGTTGAATAAATGCATCTCTTCTCCAAAATTTCTGTGTCAAGATTTGTGAAGTGGGTCGATCGGGCTTTTGGGTAAAGCCATGGGCGTAATGCTATGAAAGGAACAATATGATTCTCTCATTAAATTCCAAAAAACATGGATAAGATGGTTACATTTCATCATTTTTATGGCACCGTCCCTACCTCTACCTTTCCTGGCTCTACACGCCTGGCCGTTGCTTTCAACAGCTGTCAATCTCAAAATAATTTCAGTAAATTGCTCTCATTTACAAAGGTTAATAGAAGAAATTGTTAAAGAATTTTTGAACCTGGATTTTAATTTCTACAATTATTTTGATAATAGAGAAAATAATGAACTGGAAAATGCGATGTCCTTATCTACAAACACCAGCAGTGTATACGTCATAGGCCAAAACAGGTATTATTATTTTTTGGACTGGCGCTTACCCTGGAAATGGCATTCCAATGCATGTTCAAAAGCGGCAAACAGATAAAAGCACGGTGTTCGTTGATAGCTGCCAAATAATACGACATCTCGTAAATACCTTTCATGGCAAAATCCCAATAAAATTCCTAAAAAAAGTCCACAGACCGTGTTCTCTACCGAGAACAACTCTTCAAATATATCTATGAGTGGTCATCAATAAAACGTCAGGAAAAAAGGGTGTATCCAGTTTGGGCGTGACATTTTAACGTTTTGGATGAAGAAATTGTTCTCAAAGTAAGAAATTGGCATGATGCTTCAAAAGTTATCCTTCCAGAGGTTAAAAAACATTGATAAATAATTTTTTTTAAAAAGATACAGTTAAGGTAAAATAAAGAAAACACCAGCACAAAAAAGATAAAACGAAAAAACAATGATAAATATTGTGAGTCTAAGATTATAGCTAGTACCCTTGGGCTGAGAGGTTGTGGGGCTAGGGGGCGTCTCATGGACGGGGCAGATACTACACGGTTAGGGGGCTTAGCATGGACTTTTGGCGAATATTTTGTCTACGTTAGAGTAGAACTGCCCAAAAAGTGCCTGAAATGCAATGAATTTTCTCTATTAGGGGCCCTACAGCCGTTTTGGTCCTCCACCCCCCATGTTTCCTACCCCTATGGACGTCAATTGATACTTGGGTCTATTTTGGATAGGGGTGCTCAGGTATTGGTCTGTAACTTACTTACCCAATGAAAAATATAACTCTCGATATTTATGTAAAGCCTACCCTGCGTACCAGACTCTCTCTATATAAAAAAGAGTGATATTGAGTGACACTTATTCTATATAGAGTGAGTCTGGTAGCCAGGGTATGTACACTCTAGCAAGCCTGCTTCAACAAATTGCCGAATACCTCGTTTCTTATTAAAAAATATATGTTATTTATGTCGAAATAAATTACGAGCAGAAAATGCAAATAAAAAGTTTTATTATCGCTCTAAGATTGCTAAGAATTAGTATTCTCTTTCATTTGTGCCATAAACTGAAAAAAGCTAGAGAGGATTTCTAAGTGCGTTTAGAGCGTTGAGTATATTTCAACTTTGTAATTGCCAAGTTGTATCGTTGATCTATGTATCGTTGATTGTATTGTTGTTATTATTTAGCATGGATCCTGATTACTAACAAGCTGTTTGATTTAATGCCTCTTGCTTACCTTAAAATGCTGGGTTACATGTTTTTCCAAAAACCTAAATGACCCCAAAAACAATTTGCACCCAAATTGGACTCAAGAAAGTCCCTTAGCATCTCCGTTTTAAAGTCTCGTTAGATGCAAAAACCTCCAAGGTGAAAATCTTTTTGGACTAAATGAAGGAAAAACTTGGTAACAATATTTATTAGTAACGATCATACTTGAATTCATTCGACGTACAGCACAGGAAGTAGACTACATTGTTTATTTGCTAATATACTGGTTTTTAACCTATTTTCGTCTTTCATGGTTATTTTCCATTCTAAATTTTGATATTAACTCCACATTACTTGCCCTTTTTGATATTTATAACAGTTTCATAAAAAACATTGAACAAAACCTATTCACTTGCTGCATTCTACTTGATTTTCTAAAGCTTTCGACACTGTCAATCATGACAAACTATTATCTAAACTAAATTACTTTGGAGTAAGAGGAGTACCACATGACTGGTTTTACTTTATATTGACGATATTTCTAAAGCCTCCAAAATCTTAAACTTTCATCTGTTTGCAGATGATACCAGCATTTTCTTTTCACATAAAAACATCAAGGAAATGGAATCAATTGTTGATCATGAGATGACTAAAGTTTCGCAATGCCTTACTGCAAATAATTTATTGCTCAATGTATCTAAATCAAACTTTCTCCTAATTCTTTCTAAAAACAAAAAACGAAATCAACCATAATCAAAATATAATCCAAAAAGAATTTACTAAAAATGTTGGAGTAAATATAGACTCTTAACTGAATTGAAAAGGACATATAAAACAAGTTAAATAAAATTATGTAAAAGCATTGGACTGCTTTCAAAACTAAGGCATTACATACCACAAAGCACTCTTAAAACATATATAATGCACTTATCATACCTCATGTTAATTATGGTTTTACGTGCCTACTCCTTAAATCTAGAAAAAATTTGTATTTCCCTACGCAAAGCAAAGAGGACAATAAATTTTGCAAAAAGTGATCATTCGAAACCACTCTTTGAAAAACTTAATTTGCTTGATTTTGATAATGCATATAAATGCGAACTAGAAAAATTCATGTTTGACATTGACATAAGGCATTTCTTCTCTCTTCAGTAGCCTGTTCAAAAAAATCAGTGATGTACATCATCACAATACTCGTTAATCCTCTTTGGGTTTGTTCTCCCTTCCTTTTGGAGCTACAGACTATCGTATAAAATTTTTTTCTTATCAGGGTGTGAAATTTTGGAATTCTCTTCTTCTTGATTTGCGTAATAAAATAAATAAACAAACGTTGAATAAGAACCTAGAAATATATCTCAAAAACATTCATAGGCCATGAAATTGCATTTTATGAAGAACTTTTGAATTGCACTTCCTTTTCTCTCTCTTATCTATTCTCGTCTTTTATCCATTCTTGCTGTTACTGTTATTGATGCAACTTCATGTATGCGTTTTTCCTTAAATCTGTTTCTTTAATTATTGACAATGTAACTTTCAGAATCACAAAAAAGCCGCTCGAAAGCTCTTTTGAATTATTTCTATATGTCCTTCAGTATTTCAATTTTTCTTCCTAGTAATTCCATGTAAAATGTGCTTTTTAATCTTTAATCGTTTATGTTAGCATTATTGTATCACTTGTAATTATTTAGAATATACTGATAATAAATGTTGAAGTTCATGAAGTTCACTATTTTGTAATTCTGTTGGGGGTACTTTTCAAATGTTATTTGTATTTAATGCAACTTTTTTTTATCTGTTATACGTGAGTTACTTCAATAAATGAAACACAAGCAGCAAAAGATAACAAATTCGAAAGGTGGAACAGTTTGGCAATTTTGGCCAACATCAGTTATAGAATTCATTGGAAATTAATAAGAACGCTTAATTTTACGAACCTGTTTCATGTTTTTTTATATTCCATTTTATATTTTATTTCCCTTTATCACTCTTTATTGCCCTACTGCATTACACGAAAAGAGAAAAGTGTACAATCAATAATCTTACCCTGTTGAGGATTTGAAGTAAAGATGTTTACCCCTAAAAGATATTGGATAATGTAAGTAAAACATATATTTATAATGTCACATGAAACACACTGTTTTCAAATTGGCTCTTAAGGCAACAAATTTATTTAGAGTAGCAAAGCAATGACATCACAAAAATATACAATAAAAATTTGGACACATGAGCAGAAAGATAACCTTTAAAAGCCTCTAAATGTACAGCATCAGCTAAATCTGTTGCAAATTGGCTGAAAATTGGCTGAGATATGCACAGTGAAATACCAAAGTTTTGCTGATAGATTAATGCTGTTTTGGTCCTTTTCATGAAATATATAAAGATATAGGGTAAAATTACAATGACTCAATGAGGCAAGGACCTGTGTTCATGTGACCATGTTTCAGGCAATCTGTAACGGATCTAAAAGATTTTGCCAACTAGTCGTATTTCATGGTGTTCGTTTAGGTCATGTGTGCTAAGTTAAACAAATAGAATTACGTTTTCATGACGTCACTGTTACGACATTTTTTGGCTGAAATGCTTATTATGATAAAGGGACTGTAATTTTGCAAACTAATGTTATGCACAATAATGTTTATATAAAATAATTTTTAATATACAAGAATATATAAAATATAAGAATATATAATATATAAGAATATATCATATATAAGAACAACTGTACGTACATGCATATATAGATTCAGTGTTGTACTCATTAAGAAAAACCAGGGCATTTTTTAAGAATTTTCCACTGGTGGGGCATTTGAGAAAAGGGCATATAGATAAAGGCAGAATTTACAGATAAACATGCTTTCAAAAATATTCTAGAGGAATCGCCTATAGAAGCAGCAGTTCCAGGGAAAAATGAATTGAGATTTGAAACCTGTTCAATGAAGATTTTATCTACCAATATCTCAAATAAAGTAAAAAGCAAAAAAGTCACCGAATCATAAGGGCACTTAAGTGGTGGGGCAAACATGTTTCACTGTTGGGCCAATGAAAGGGGCTGGTGGGGAATTTCCCCCACCACTTTATATGTTAAAAAATGCCCTGAGAAAAATCCTTGTTTTGGTACTGAAGTAAACAATTCACTGTAGCTTGTTGCAACAAAGCACAACTCTCGCATGCATTGTGGCTTTTACAAAATTATACTGATAGATCAGAACGGCAGAAAACGAATTCCACAAAGCAGCAACTAAAGACGAAGCAGAAAGAGAATCTTAGATACATAGATAAACACATCTATGACAAAGTGGTTGTGTGTGAAAGCCTTATAAAACCGGGTCGAAGGAAATGATAGCAACATTCTTTGAACAAAAGAATATGAAGATCCAATACGAGAATCATGAGAATATTGAAGTAACAATTTCTAGCGGAGCAGCAAATTGATGCATTAATAATGAATAAGTGTCAAGATATATGCCAATGATGATCTAGGTGTTATTTCGTAACATATTGGACAAGCAGGTTACGTCAGAGATGATAATTTTCGATAAGATTGAATTTTGTTCGCATAATCTGAAAGAACAACGTAAGAAGCCTCTCGATGCACGAAATCAATTAAATCTATCAAAGATAGGCTGTGATGTGACCTTAAGGTTTTATAAACATTTATTTTAGTTTAAATTTTTCATAACTATTGATTCATGTCAACTCTACGTTTGAAAATTGGCAGCAAGGTCTTATGAACTAGATGGGGACAATGGCCCTTCCATTTCTCTTTTAGTTTCTTTGTTTTAAACAGCCCCCTTTTTAAGACTTTCCCTTCTAGTTGAGGTCCCATAAAAGAGACATCGGCAGGCAGGCAGCCTCTTAAAGATTGATTTCTAGTTCTGAAAAAGCTCCATATTTCAAGAAAGAATTCCCTCGCCTTGTGAATTACTGGATACATAGGATAAGAAAAGAAAACAGACTCGTGTGTTGTACTGAACCCTACTGTTATGTGAATGGTACAACCTGACACGTACAAAATGATTTCAATGTATGAAATTCTCTTGAGGATTTCATGTCTCTAATGCTCGCATTATACATCTTATTCTTTTGTAGTAGAATAATCTTTGTCATGTGTTTTAGCTTTTTGAGTCAGTAGATCTTACTCAGAAAACTCTTGAAATATTTGCTCTTTTATCGTGCAAGGAAAGGACCTACCGAGCTTTGCACTCCCTGCTGCTTGTTGCGATGACGGTCATCAGGGGGGATAGTTGTCAATATTTTGCTTCATACCAGTTGCGTATACTGCATGATTCAAAGCCTTATTTCTCATCAAATTTAAAACATAGATATGATCATAAGTATATAGAGACTAAAATAAGATAACACAAAAATTCGATGCGAAAATTGAGTTGAAATGTAGCAAAATGATTGTTTTCTCCTCTTGTTGTTTGGCAGTTTGTCCCCCGCAAACTAATGATAGCATGCAAAGTTTCAGGGGGTCGTGATTGTGCGGACCCCCTGTAAAGGGCCTATTGTTATTCTTAGATCCTAAGGAGTTGAACACAGCTCTGGAGTTGTAGTTGAGAACGGTAGATAACATGACTTTTGAAGTGCTGTAACTTTTGCATGGCTGGCAGTTTCTTTGAATTTCATTTCAAGGTCGGTTTAGCGTGTTGAAGAGATTTCGTTATCGTGGTTAGGCACAAGCTTTCGACAAAGATGGAGACTCGTAGATGTCGCGCTAACAACATGAATGGTGGGATGAACACGGCCATTATTGAAGAAGAAAAACACAAGTTTTCACAGACAAATAATTCGCGGCAAGATCTCTATACGACAGCTTTTGTTACGCCATTAAAAACATTTAAACAGAATGACCTCCCATGGCCTTTTACCGCAATCTACGGTAGTTTGCAAGAAGCAAAATGGTTTCGCTCAAAAAATGAAACTGGATTTGCTGTTTCCGCTGTTTGCATAGCGGCCATAATTTTCGGATCATTAACCGAAAGCACTTTGCTTGGTCTGCTGTTATTATTTCAATCAATTGCAGTAAAATTGATTCCTTATTCTCTGATAACCAGTATATTTTTCTGGACTGGTGCATTCATGCGAAAATTAAAATGCACTATATGGTGGAGATCAGTATTGTCCATGTCCTTCACAGCAGAGCTTCTTGCAGAGCTTAGTTCCAGATACTTCAGCCTAGGCGCCGCAAATTTAATTGGCCTAGCTTTTAGCTCAATTCTTTCTTTAGTATTAGGAATTGCAAAGCAAGAGTATGCGAGCACATCTTTCCTATTCTTAGTTGCAGCCACCAGATTTGTAGCACTTGGCTTGGTCCTTCAACATGCTGCAGATTTTCAGACATTGTTTACTTATATTTCATGCTTCTTTGGGTTTTGCCTGGGATATGTACTCAAATCTTCAAACTCAGACATATATGAAGTTTCATCAGACAGTAATGATGTCCTCTTTGCTAACAAGATTCCTGTCATCAGAAAAAGAAGAGGTTCTAGTGTTGATTCGTCCGTTTCTGGTGTGAGCTCGTTCAGTGCCGCAGCTGCAAGCAGGAGACGAACCTCAATGCCCCTTCTTGGCCTGCCAAACAGAGTAAGTGCTGTTTTGTGCTGCCTTATTTTGTTTTACAGTTTGTTTTACTGATTGTTTGTTTTATTTCCAGAGAAAGTTTCTTTGTAATTAGTAGACAAATCATATCTTAGTTGCTTCAATTATCTGCATATGCCCAAGACTATGGTTTATTCATCGGCAACAAGGTTGAAAATCACACCAAGTAAAATTATTATCAAGATATCTTAAAGTCAGTTAACATTAATGGTTCTAAATTAGCAATTTGTCACTCAACAAAAGTTCTAGAAGGTTTTTCTACAGTTAATCCTGTCTACTAGCTTATGTGCTAGGTAAAATGACATTTTATCAACCGACATACCAGTCTTCATAAATTCTTTAAATTTGAACATCTGCTTTGGTATGTAAAAGCAGTTTTGTTTTGTCTGGCTTTTATATTCAACCACTCAAACAACAAAGAACTTCTATCCTGGTCTGAATTTCTTCCTTTTCAAGATGTTTCTTCATTTGATATCATTTGTTTGATATAATTCTTCAAAAAAGCAATGCATGTGTGTAGGTATGTTTTCTAGCCAGCTATAACTTAATCTGTTGGAAATGTCTTCTAGATCAGAATTTGTAGTTAATGTTTATAAAGCCATGGAAAATTTCTTAACATTATTTGAAAAATTTGGAATTTGAATCATGCAAGTTGCAAATTAGAGGAGATCTTTATATTGCTATCAACAATGTTTTTGCATCAGCAGAATACTAAAACCAGATCCTCTTTGTGTTGGTCTTGTGTGTGATGAATAAGCAATTTTTTAAAGCTTCAAGCAATTTGTAAGCCTCACAATACATGTACACAGCAGCATTGCACCTTGCAGAGTGCAAAATCCAGTCTTGCCACGTTTTTCATAATACTCAAACAATTCAATTTGCCTTAAGTCATTCTTTGGTTTATGGTACCTGTTATTCCAAAGTATTGTACAATATCTGAAACAAGTTAAATTAAATCTTGTTTTATAGTTTATGAATAAGCAAGGTAGTCTATTGTTAAACTTCTCCAGATTTCAATAAAAAGATAATACCAATTTCAATGTTTGTGAAGAAGATTTTCTTTTTCTGTTATTCATGATAATTTTTCATTGAAAAGATACGATGCAATAGAAATGCATGTGAAAAAGTGGTTTCTAGTGAGACTATCTTTATAATGTTTTCAAATTGTTTATATGAACAGGTTATTGGGGAATCTGGACAACAGTTGAATATTTTAAAATTGAAAATTGATATTTTAAAATTAGTTAAACAAGTAATGTTGGGTTGGTTTCTCTTATCAAGGAGACAGGTTGAAAGTTATATAACCTAATGAATGACCTTGTTATAGAAAGTTATTCAGGATAAATATACATCTATTAATCATTAGTTGTCTGTTTAAGCTCTTAAAATAGTTTAGCAAAAAATTTTTCATTTTTATATATCATATATATTTTTTTTATTATTTATTTTTCTTTCATTTTTTCACTACAAGAATACCTATAAATGAAATTTTTTGGTTTGAGCCAATATCATCAGCACTGGCAATGAAGCAATGGTCTGCCTATACTTGAAATAGGTTTAATGTCTTGACCTTTTTTAAGCCCTTCTAGGTCTCATTGAGCACTCAGTAAAAGAGTTAAGAAAGAAAATCAAAGTTTTAAAAGGACAATTTACTATATACAATTTTAAAAATAAATTTTATAACTTTATAGGCATTTTTAGAAATTTAAATGCTGTACTAGGAATTAGCTTCAATTATGTAAATGCATTATTTATTTTTGTTGCTAAAAATATTAAGTTACATAAAAAATTAGGTTAATAATGAAAACAAACTCAGGTGTAGAACCATTTACATGATTTGGATGAGGGGCATTTACAGAGAAATATAAATGACACAAGCCTTGATGTAACTCCTGCCCAGGATCTCCTAAGATGCTCTTATAAGTTAAGATTCCATACTTGCTGCCCACATAGAGTGATATAATGGTGATTTGTTAAGCTTTTTCACTGGGGTCCCACTATGATATTTCTTTTTGTGGTTACAGGTACCAAAATATCTATTTTAGCAAGTTACAACAAATATTCATAAACATCAATTTGACTAAGTCAAGTCTTTATCTTAGATTGTGACCATAATTTTAAAAAACAATCAATACCTGAATGCTTTTTATTGATTCAAGTTATGCTCAATCAAAGTTGTATGAGAACAGTCAGTTTGAAGCTGGTGGCTTTTATGCTGTTGTTGTTATTTATGTTCAAGTTAATTTTCCTTCTATTGCATGAATAGTTTAAACCCCGGGGATTCTGTTGCCATGGTGTTATGATTTTTGAATATGCAATGCATGAATTTCCATTTCAAGAAAATTAGGGGAGCAAGACAATCAAGATTCATACATATATGAATCTGTTGTCCTTATCTTTATTATCCAGAGAATCCTCATTTCATTAAAGCAAGGCTGTCTACTCTTTTAGGATATTTAGTTAGAATACATCCCCATAGTCACCTGTATTTGTGTGCTAGTCAGCCATGTTCTTGCAGCTTTTGCCAGTTGTGGCCCTTTTCTTTGGCATTTTTAAATTAACTTCTTACATGAGTTTTTTCTTTGAAATTTGTCTTTGTAATAATCTTTAAATTAACCATATGAAGACACTATGGAAATCAATAAAGCAATGATTCTTCAAGTTAAATTTCATCATTTTGTTTTAGTTGCGAAAGACTTTCCGTCAACATACATTCACATGCAACATACATTTATATATTTTATGCTTCTAAGACTTCTAAGATAGCAAAAAATTTGTTGATGTTCTTGACTTTCTGGTAATTGCAAGGTACTTGTGAATGTTTTGAATTTAGGTACTAGATATCAATCAATAGATTTAGTTTTAGGTTTAGACCTAGAAGATATCCTAGGGTGCCATGCTTGAATCTGTTTAATATATTCTGCATTTTCCTCTGTTCATAGAAACATTGTTTACTACCAAACACTTTGCATTGTTATTCGCTACCAGTGCTCATTGTCATACAAAATGGGAATTTGAACTATCAAGATGGACTCAAGAAAAATAGGGACAAGCTTTTCTTCAGTCATTTTTGCCAATAAAATGTGCTTGTCGACTTTAAGTTCATGTCATACCTTACATAGACTTATGAATAGATTTTGTTCATACCAGACCTTTCAGTGAAGTGACCAATAGACCTGTCAAGGGGTGCTGGAGCATTTCTCTTTTCTCATTTCTCTAAGGTCAAAAAATTTAGCAATTCTCTTTTTTCCCTTTTTCTCAACACTTTGCTGCTCTTTCCTACAGCTCTTCTATCATTCCTGCTTCCTAAAGCCTAGTTGCGTTCGGAATCTCAGTGTAATATTTGCATCCATGTTCCCACAATGGGCACCAGTGTCTCTATCATTTAATATCAGTGTAGACATGAGAGTTTTTTGCTTAGTCAAAACTAAAATTTCAACTAGAAACACATCATTAGTTATCCATTAAGAGCAATTTCCCACCACTGAAATCTAATTTAGCAAAGCTAGACAAAAAAAACACAAATCTTGTATTGCTTTCATAGACTCAAAACATCATTTACATGCTTCCTATCCCCCCCTTTTGAAAAATGCTGTTTTATGCGAAGAGGTTTGACGTGGTCCATGGATTCACTTCAGATAGCTATGATATTTAACTTTCAAAAATGAGGGGTATGGTGTTGATCTTTCTTTACCGGAAACCGTTTTTTTTTCAAAACAGCACTTAAGCGACTGGGTGTTCTAAGAAGGTTTAACACGGATTGTAGCCATTATGTGCATCTATTTTCTCCATTCTCTATAATTCCGTTCTTATTTATTTTATTACTTCCGTTCTAATGTAATGGTTTCGAATTCGTTAGAAAAATTTTCTGAAGCTAAATATATGTTCCCATTAACATTTGCTCATTGTCTCATTCTTTCAAGACGGGCCGGGGATGGCATCATCGTATTATTTATCTCCCATCGTGTTTCTTGCGTTACTGTCATTCTCCCGCGCAGCTACTGTCCAGTGCCTTCGCAGCTTCGTAGTTAGTGTCAGCAGGTTCAGAATCAGACGTTTACAAAACGGAGCAATCAGATAATTTAAACTCTCTGTTGGTAATGTGGCTAGTCTCATTTCTCGTAAAACATTCTAGATTTTCAATTTAGAAATTTGCCCATGAAGTATTAATCAAAGAGGCAATTCGTCTTGTGTATTGTAATTTTGTTGTTAGTTGGAAGAGTACATCAATATTTGAAGAGAGAAATTTGACAGTATGTAAACTAAGGAAGAATACATACCTGTTGCTATGTTTATTTAGGTTGTGATGTTTGGATTGTAGAACCAAGAACACATGTGCGTGCTCTCACGCAAGGACATTCGCGCATCAAGTATACATACAGCTTCTTTATACACGTATAAATATCGTCATTTGTTCTTGTGCTTTATTTTGCAGTTCTGTGGAAAGCCGAGAGCTCGGATTGTAGCCTCAGAAAGGAGGGACTGTATCAGAAACCGTATATGTTTCTATAACTACCGAAAATAGTTTTAAAGGCACTGAGAAGCTATGCTTATCGAGCAGTGTTCTGGTTCTTCCTCTCAATATGTACTTCACCTTGATTAGCACAAAGCTTGCGTCTCTCAGCACTGAGACGGTATTAGCCCCCTCCCCCAATTAATTTCCAGCAGCACTTTAGAAAATCTTGGAGAGTATGTCAATCTCAAGGTCTTTGCACATTGAATATGATTCAGCCCCTTGAAGGCTTAGAGAAAGCTCATTTTAGATATCCGCGTCCTTTTACTCTTTAACATTGGTTGCAGTCTAGTACATACTGCACAATTCATCAAGTAGTAAGATAACCATTTCTACTGAAAATTCGTCTTGCTAAAACGTGGGTATATTGTCAGGAAATGTGTTCACGAGATGCACTGACATTTTATTTGCGAATTTCAATCCCCAACCTCTTTATGGCTGAAATGACGTCATTCTTGCGCTTACCTTTAAGTCCCCAGCTCCTCTTAGTTAGCCCCCACTGCTTATATGGCCACCATGTTCTTATTTAGACCTGGTGGTATGCAGTCATTTTTCAAACGGGTCTCTTGTACAGTTTAGTTGAAAACTGTCGGACAGATCAGCAGCGAGGCTTTGAATTAGCCAGCAAGCAAGTCCACGGTCTGGCTTCTGATCAGTGGCGGTGCCAAGGGGTGGTATGGAGGGGTAATTACCCCCCCACTCTTGTCGAAACATATTTCGTCTAAAAACGGATTAAAAAGCACTAGGTAGGGGTAGATCATATTTCCTAAGGAAATTTTACCTGATACAAAGCACTGAAACGAGGCAGATAGGGCGTGGTCTCACGGGCAACACCCATTACCCTCCCACTCTGCAGTAGCTGGCGCCGCCACTGCTTCTGATCTAAGGTTGAAAAACCATTTCGCAGCGCAAATTATTTGCACAACATTTTGCAGCTCTTTGAGAATATCTTCTATCTTAAGGGTCAGTGAGAGCACTAAGAATGAAATCCCCATCAAGTGTTTATTTAACATCTGAACTCTTCAAGTGTGTTTTAGCTTATAAAGGTGAAGTGGGATCTGCCTTGAAAACTCCATATTCTACGCATCTGTTTGTTTATTAGCTTGTAACATACTCTTCTTTATGTCGACCAGTCTACGCTTAAAATGTATACTCAATAAGAAGGATCCCACCCTTTTTCCAACTTTTCACTGATGGTATTGCTTTGCTTATGCTGTTACCTCTCCTATTCTGTTAAACTTTTTGCTGTCTGTAAAGCTGTATTTTACCTTTTACCTTCTAAAAACTTTTGAAGCTACCGAGTAAATCTTTCTAAATTTATAAATGCAATGTTGCAGACAAAGAGACTGCAATTTGTAACACGCTTTTTTTGCCTGATGCTCCTCAGTAGTATGAAACGCTTGACAAGTAAACAGAGGTGAACAGAAATTTATATCCAGCTGCACGAGGCTGAGTAACATGGCTCTTTATTTCGACCAATCGTCTGTCACTAAGCCCTCACATGGCCGTAGAGTCAAGTGTAAAAACCAATTCTTGTGTCTACTTGACAAAAGCATCCAATCAAAAGCTATCATTTCTCTGTGAATCAAAATGTTCATCACTTTATGTCTTGGCGCCCTATAGATTTTCGAGGAAGTTGCCTATGGCTGTTTAAGTTTATCTGGATTTAAGAAAGGTCCTCTGAGGTAGTTGAAGCTTGATTTACTAGAGTATTTGCTATCAATTCTCTTTTACGGTTCCAACTAGAGAGAGTTTGTAAAGTTTGTCAAGTCTGATGGTCGCGTCATTTGGCACAGTTTTATATGCCTTTGCTGGGATTGAAGTTTTCATTTATTACTATTTTGCCTCTGTGTAGCAAATCGCATTTGTTGGTATTTATATGTGTTGCTGGCTATAGGCAGGAAATGTTACTTTAGCGGTATTTTTATTTGTAAAGTTTTATTTCTAATTTATAAAGTTTTATTTCTAAGTTGAAATCTTTTATGTCATTTTTAATGGGATGAAAAACCAGGCGAATTGTAAATTTCCACGCCATTTTACACAGGTCAATTATTACCTCTCCCTGCTAGTTTCATTTCGAAAGCGACTAACGTAAGACTTCGTTATGGCTCAGTTTCGTGGCATATCGCAACAAAGGCAAGAAAATTGTGGTTCCGTGACCGCGTAGAAGGCCATTGGAAACCATTATATGCAAGTCCCAACACTTGGACCGTGCCCTGTTTTTTTTTATTTAGGGTTTGGCTCTTAGGCAAAAGAAGTGATGGGAAATTCCATTGGATCTGAAATGCGAAGTCTTCGGTTGCGCTATCATTGCTTAAACCTTGCTGAAGCTGCAGAATCAACCACTTTGATTTTTTCGTCTTTTTGATTTGCGACAAGCTTTGTTTTTCGCCCAGTTGCTTTGGTGTACTGCCTCACGTTACTTGCTTCACGTTGCAGCAAAACAGTTACCGTTGGCTCAAAAAATCTTCATTTCACAAGCCGGGTTCCTCTTTTTGCAGTAAGAGGGATATAGTTGAAGTCGCTAGGGTCATCCGTCTGTGTTCTTAACGCTTCTTGTACGGATAGAGTTCTTGAAAAATGGCAAAGTGATTTTCAGAAGTGCTCGAAGAGGATAGGTCAATTGCATTTCGCAACCAGATTGTCACTAACTGCCAGTATAAATCGCCGTCAATTGGAGGCCTAACTAACTACAAAATCAACACGATGCCTTTGAATTTTCTGGTAGGGTTTCTTATTTGCGGATTCCACTAGTGAATAAGCCATTTAGATTTTTCCTTTATTGTTTTTCGTAATGGTTAGAATAGAGCCCTGGCTGCGGGACTTGTTTGCCATTTTTCAAATCCGAGAGGACTTTAGCTTAAGCCACAGGCGCAAATAACCGTCTTATATTATACGAGTGAGAAACTCCGAGTAAGAAAATCCGAGTGAGAATCTCACTGTTCCCAAGTGCCAACTCGTTGTTTTTTATATCCAGAGGGAGCTTTAGGGGAGAGGGAGAGGGAGCTTCTCACCCCATTTTCGGCAAGTGATGGCCTAAATGAAAGCGATACCTTTTGGTCTTCATTATTTAAGAATGGTTTACAAGGTGCTTCACGCATCGATGTATGTTTCAGAATTTCTCAAGCCTCTCGAAATATTGTGAGTTTGAATGCAAGTGCATGGAACCAGCTACCCAATTCTCGATTGTTTGCAGCGATAAAAATATTCATAATTGGAATTTGTCGTTAGTAGTACACATCCCTTAACTGTTTCTGTCTTCTACATGTAGGTTCCTTATAAGGTCTTTCCTTATATAAGAAGCGTATAATCAATTAAACACCTGCTGACTAAAGGTTCAATGATTTTCCGCACAGTAGACAAGCTTTCTAGCCTCCGGGCCATCGACCTATCCGGGCCATATACAAGTATTCTAGACTCCGGGTCATCGACCTATCCGGGTCATCGACCTAGCCGGGCCATCGACCTATCCGGGCCATTGACCTATCCGGGCCGTATACAAGCTTTCTAGCCTTTAGAATCCGGGCTTACTTTGAACCTTTCTTCCTTGGAGTTGTTATTTTTATAGAACATTTGTGGATTTTGGTATGTGATGATTTGGGTAGAAGGTAACAAGGGAGCGTGCCCGTATTTTTCGTGGTACAATATTTCCCCTTCAAAGTCCCAGCCTATTTTAAAAGCCCCTCAATAAGCGCCAAACGGGAATTTCGGAACCTCGGTATAAATCCGAACTCTACTGAGCTCCGAGGCCTTTTTAAGAATTAAACGACCTTTTTTCCGAAATAGAAAATACAGGGTCTTGACAGCCTTCACAGTGTTAAAGGGGTATAAGGGTAAAATCCCAGGCAGTCATTCTCAGTTTTAAAGACAAAGCATTGCATTTGTTTGGTGATAAGACTTAAGGTAGATGATTTGGACAAATTGAAAAGTTTGATGGGGAATCTATAAATACGACCCTCTGCTTGGTTGCTTGAAACACTATGTATACTTTCGTAAAGCTTCCTTCATCGATGTCTTGCTATGAAACTAGCAATCTAAAAGCCTAAAGAGCGCGCCCTCTAAAATGCGCCTTCTTGACGCCTTCTGTCCTGTTTCACCCTCTGTCCACTGTTCCTGTTTGTCGTAGTTTCGTTTAGGACAAAACAAGAGTGGTACCCTGACCTAACTTTGTCTTTTAAACCATCAGATCTTTAAATCTAGCCCTGTCTTTTGCTGCCGCTGCACAGTAGCATAGTTATGACGAAATCTATCCTGCCCTTTCAGCTTGAGGATTTTTATTAACACCTTACAAATGTCAAGTCATTCTTCTCACTTGTGCAAAAATCTATCCTGTATAGGGATGCAATGTTTGGGGAAGAGCAGCGGGCTAGAACCCCTTAGAAGCTCAAATTGTTGGAAGGTTTCGGGAATTTTGCAACTTTGTCAGAAGTTTTAGGAACTTCTACGGCGCCCCTGGTCCAACAGAAACCTTTTTCTAGGGATGATGAGATTTTAAGTAGATGAAGCTCATAACTTTTTGGTTTTGTCCTTGCAAGGTCGATTTGACATTTTTTCCTGGATACAATTGTCTATCATTCGACGCGGATAATTCGAAGCGGAGAAACTTATAAGTACTTCAGTCAAAGAGACACGACCCCCCGTCACAATCACGCTCATAAAATATTGAAAAACAATTATTTTGCGAAAGAGGCAGCTGCTATGATCGATAACTCTGCTATAAGCTGCTAAGGATAGGATACCTTCGAAGTTACTCGACTGCAGTTTAGGCCACCATCAAATCAGATCATCAGGAAAGATGTCCTAGGCCATTTCCCCTGCAAATTGTCGTGTAGTGGGGGAATGCGGCCGAAAACGTCATTTTTGTCGTATCTGTTGAAGGACCCTCGGTCAGAATGAACTCGTCAGTGCAAGCAGAACGCGCTTGTCAAATCCAAATGAGATCGAAGGGTTACGACAAAAGTTCATGCTCTAACTTGCGGTCTTTGAGGCTTGAGACGCACATGAAAAGTCGACTTACTGATAAAACCACTCAGACCGAACGAAGCCGAAAACTCCGATGGTCCGGTAGAATTTTCAGGTCCTTCAAAAAGAGAAAATCAAGTATTGAGGTAAGCTACGTTGTAAGACGAATTTCCGGTGTTTTTGCCTATATTTGCTTGCTGTGTGTTTCCGGACTCGTGGCGAGATGTGTAGAAGAAAGATATATGCAGAAGTACGTAGAATATGTCTTTTATGAAATACACCATGTAGAAGCCGTTATAGGCAAAATAAACAAGCCAGCAAATGTTGGAAATCAATTTAGTAGTGCTAGCCATGACTTCGTAAATGTAAAAGCCAGTTGGAGATCGCAAATGGAGATTTTCGCTCAGTATCTAATGCATGTTTTGATGTTTTTATGGTAGCAAATTTGCAAATTGTTTTTATTGGATAGCTACAGAATTGGGGGATTAAAATGCTTTGTCCTCGTTGGTTCGAAGCGCACTGTTGCGTGGACACTTGTCGTTAATGGCATGTTATTGCGAGTTAATTCCCTTCATAATAAACTCTAGATATTAGTGATTGAGGAACAGGAAACTGCTTTGTTAGACGAGGAGATGCTTTTGTTTGGATAATTTAAGGTTGTATTTGAGTAGTAAGAAACCTGCTTGGTTGATAATCATTACTCAGAAGCTGGCCTCTTTGTAGACGTATCTCACAAGCAAGGCATGAAATACTCTGTAGCATTGAAGTTCTTCTTTAGTCGATTCAGACTCGATAACTCAAGAAAATTTCCTTGTTGTAGAGCGAAGAATTATCTGTTACATATATTTTTTGGGTGCATTGTCGAAAAATCAGTTTTAATGTCAATGTTTAGAGTTATAGAAAAAAAGGTGTTTGTTTGAAGAATATTCCAAGGGAAGCAAATGTTTGTAACGTACTCTAGATTCTATATAATTATTTTATTCAACTTACTTGTCAAGTTTAGATTTAGTTTCTTCATGCTGTCTGACGTTTATGGTTGACTTTGATGCCGATGGTGTGGTATTTGAGGCAGCAAAGGGGCAAGGGGAGGGGCAAGCTTGAGTAAAAGGGCATTTGAAAAATAGTTCTCAGCTACCAACAATTCTTTTCTAACTGTCATTTTGTTTCGACCTTCTGTAGATATCTTGAAAAACCGGCTAACTTTTGGCATAAGAAATTTCTTTACAAATTTCGAAAAATGTCGTCACGAATAAGGCAGTACAGTCAGAATTTCATTACGAGTCTTTGACTCCCCTTGTCCCTCCTCTCTCTGGCAACAGGGGCAGTTGACTCCCACAATTCTCTCTGGCGTCCCTGTTCTAATCATCCATGTAGTAAAAACATCTACTAGTAGCGTTTGCTCTTCCCTAAGTTGACGAAGGAGTTTTTGGATCTAAATCAGTATCTTTCAACCTCCATGCTTTGGTTAACTGATTTTTTCTACATGTAGCATTCTTTCAAACCGGAGCTGAATATCTAAGAATCAAGCAGACGAGAATTCTTCTCTTGCAAAAGAACCTATTGATCTTTTAAGAGGATTTCTTGGTTATGTCTTTTGAAAGTCTTGTTTCTTAGTTGATTGAATGAGGAATTTCTGCTTTGGTTTTTAATGTAGAAAAGCGTGAAATCGTTTGCTTGGCACATAATTTCCAAATACGCTAAAATCCTGCACATAAAATTTTCGTGTACCAAGAACCTTGAAGTTGAGATGATATGTTTTTACCTAATAAGAACGAGATGCACCGTTAGTTAACTAGGTCCTTAGGTTTCTTCAGCTGTTTGGCAATGAATTCAATATGATTTCCGTTCAAGGACCCAGAAAACATAATGCAGAGAATTTTTTTGGGTTGATGACAAAGGTAAAGTCTAAAAGCCAAGGGGACTAAAATCTACCCACCGATCATTTGGTGTCCCCTATTTCTCAAGAATTCAAACAGGCTGTGTCCAAAATCGATTTCCGGGCTTTTACTTTACATAAAACACAAATTGCTCTTTGTCCCTGTTGGTTGGTTTTTATATATTGCCAAGGATAGTAATTAGTATGCCCAAAGCGGAGAAGAGGATTTATTTAGGCAGTGCCACGCTCTTAGCAAAAGATAAGAAAGACTATAAAACTTTGGACTTTTATTAGAAAATTTCAGAAATTTGACAATACTGATACAAAATTGGAATGGAGTAATCTTTAAATGCAACGCATGTGGCCAAGGATCTTCTCATTTATTGTTACCATCAGTTATAATCCTTGGATCAGTCTACATTTAGTAAGCTAGAACAAGAAGAAATATTTTCTACTTTTAAATTCAACTTTAAAAAAATTACACGCCTGGCACCGAAGTTGTGACAAATTTGCGCTGCCGAATTTTGCATTTTTATGAACTCAAATACCGCCAAGAATACCTGGAAAGAGAGTGGTGAGTTGAGGTGGGCCTGGAAAGTTTTTGTAGCTGCACTTTGGCATGACACCTACTGCAGATTTTGTATCTTTATGCATGCATAGTAATCCCCGCAATTTCTAATGTGTAGTTATGAGTAATCATTGGTTTGATCGATTTATTGCAATTAAAACATCTAGCTGGTTCCCTATTCACATTCATATACGTGGTGGGTTTTCCTTTTATTCAGTTTATATTGCCTATTCTCTGCTCAGCCGACAGGTATCTTATGTGCTATATAGATTACAAAATTTGTTTTGGGGAAGTTTCCGGGGGAAGACCCAAACATGCAGCCAAACAACTCTAACCAACCTTTGATTACAAAGTTATTGCCGAAGCAGCTTTACTACTGTATCGTCATTATGACGAGACTCGTTAATTCTTCAATTTTGTTTTTAATTTCTCTTTCCATCGTGCACCTCTTCCAGATGGCTCCATAAAAGGGATGGTCATAATTGTGTTACTTAGTAAACTGATTAAATTATGCAAGTGTACTCATCACAATGTTAAGGAGCACATCTGCCCTCAAGAACATGCTGAAGTTTAATAGACGCCAAAAGCACCTGTTGGCCAGGAAGCAATTGCAAAGTCTAATTCTTTTTCTCTGAACAGCGACACTGACAATTTTCAGCAAAAGAAGGCAGTTAAATTCTCTTTATGTGGTCCCTCTAACATAAAGCTGGATGCCTCTTTATAATAGCGAGTTTTGTTCGCATTGGTGCAGGTCTGGTTACGTCTATGTTGGGTAGGGTTCCAAAGCAGGCTAGCTGAGGCATATTCTTGTCTGATGTGTGTTGCGAAAGTCTCTTACAATGGAAGATGACTTCATGACGCTTATATTGAAGTCAAATCTCGTTATTATACTTTGCCTGTTTTTTATTGTAATCCATTCTTATTTCATTTATTTTTGTTAGTTTATAATTCTCAACATAAATTTAGCTAAAGAAGCAAGAATAAATGGTTAGGAAAATAACATGTATAAAATAACAATCGCACAAAATGGATGGACAAAAGCAATGCATTCTGGGAATTTCTCTGATGAGGAGCTCTTTTAGGCCCTGTTTAGCTTGGTCAATAGATACTGGGCCTCAGTCGAGGTTTCTCGCACATTTTCGTATTAGAATTAACCCACCCAGTTTTTGCATCTGCCTGTAATACCACGTTTCAACAGATGAAAATCTGGCACCAGTATTCTCAGTCAGTATCCTTAGCCGTAAAGAGGAATAGACCGAAAATAAGAATCAAATATTCCTTTATTTGGTACAGTCAAGGTTCTTTTTTAGCGAATTTAATCCTGCTGTTTGCCAAGTTCCTGACTTCTTTCACAGCTTGTATCACTCTTTCTAGATAGCGCACCAGATTTCTTTTAGTATAATAAGACTTTGGGGAAATTTTTGGCGGATTTTTCTACAAAACAAAAATAATATTGTTAAAGGTGTACCTCACCTTGGCCTCCTTCGCAGTTCTCAATCCATTCCCAGATCTTTAAGGGAGAATGAAGATTTGAAGAAGGGTTATGAGAAGGACTGTTGGAAGCATTTTTTTTGCAAAATCACGATATTTTGCTCGGAACCGATGATTTCAATGAATTAAGAAATGGAATAATAACTAAGATACGTGTCACTGCTATTTAACGCCAGTCTGTTTTTCAATGGTGAAATTTCATGGATTCATTATAATTGTCGACTGTAGTGGATCGGTACTATAACATCGTAGTTACACAGTGCGTGTAGATTTCAGCACCGATTCATGATTTCTGTTATAGATAGGCAGCTATATCAGTGAATGCTTGAAGGTCACGCAGCAATTTAGAGAGCAGCTGACTCGTTTTCTTCGCTAGCAGTTCGTCATGCGTGCAATTTTGTAAGACAACGGCGATTCAGCTTAATGATAAGTGTTCTTGGTGTAAACACAGTCTATTCTGTATCAGTTGCGTCAGTTTCCAAGAGATGTAGACCAGCGGGTCAGATTGCGAGTCTAAAAGATGTTCTCCGCTTTACCTACTAGGCAATGAATGCCTTAATGTATGAATTACAATCAACTGTATATTATAAGGTGTTCAAAATTTGTCCAAAACAGTCTTTAAATTCGCACCAAAGGCAAATCGACTTCGGATGTGGTAAAAAATGAGCAGATTGTTTTGTTTGCATGTGACACAAAAGAGAGTTGTCAGGTAGAAGGCTTTTGGTGCGGTCTTGTTTTTCCACATTTTAATCATTTTGGCATTAATAGTTTTTTGTTTGTGTTTTTTTTCTTTTAATAAATTATTATTTCTGTTTTAATGACAAATGTATTTTTGCTTATTTCGAAATATATTTTTGAAATGATTTTATAGTTTCATTTCATTTACCTCTATCTTTCATATCTCATAAAGAGTTCGATCGTTACTCACCCATAGAACCTACTACTGACATAAATCCTGACGTCACGAATGAAGCATTTAATTTTTTAGCAGAGTCATCTACATAAAGCAAAAAGCAAGTGACGGCAGCTCCATAATTTTTCATTAAGATTTTCCAACCTCAAGCCAAAGTCAGATCCAACTAAGTGCTCCTGTACAATTTTGGTATCGATGTCTTCATTCCAGGAACAGAGTTGATTCCTTGATACGGCTAGGGAGTTCCAAATTACTTTGAAATTTTTTGACGTATCCTGAAGAAAATTTATGTCGCTTTATCTTTCATTTTTCATTCTCAGTGTAAAAATGTTCAAGTTTTCCTTTAAAGGCCTCAAAACTTCCCACCTGAAATCCCACTTTTTTTATTCAAAATTAAAATTTCATGCAGCAACTTTTCTCGTTTCTTTTTCTGTTGCTTCAGACATTGTCAGTAAAAATTCTAGTTGATTTATTAAAATTACTCTTCAAAATTGTTCTTTTGCTTTATTAGGATCTCTCATCTGGTCAACTTGTTGATTTAAAACTGTCTTGTCAGAATTTGTTGCTGTTTAGTTGAAACTTGTACTATTGATTTTTACCACTCTTTTATTGAAGTTATTCTTGGTTTAGCTGAATTAATTACTATCTAACATATTACATCACTTCACCAACATATATAAACATAATATGTCTTACTTATTATATATCTCATTGCTACGTTTTTAGAAACGATGTTTCAACTTTCCATTCCCTAACCCTCTGTCTTTGTGCTTTTATATAAACCCCCTGGATTTTCTGATGAATTCTAAGCTAGTGGATTAATAATATGATGATAGGAATTACCTAAAGAAACAAATATAATATGGATTCGACCTCGGATTAGCGTTAAACCCGGCAAGTCTCATTAGATCTCAAGCAAGCGTCCATCTTGCTTGAAAAACAATTAGAGGCCAGATGCTTGATCAAGGAAGTTTTCTTTCAAGATGTTTCCCAATTGAGATTTTAGAGTTTCTTCATGATTTTAATTTGTCATTAGCAAAATTGGCAGATATATGGAAAGTTTTGAGATGTTGGGTTAAACTTGAATGTAAGAATATAGCCCCACTTTTATTGGTTTTTATTCCACGACTTCTTTATCTGCCCGTTTAGAATAAGAAAATCATACTAACCCTTTTTATTATAGGCGGGGCCGAAATAAAAATGGCTTACGTTATGTTTATATGGGACACGACTCTGTCCATTTTCGGCGGTAAGGCCTAAATCACTTTCAAATGGGGAAGTGTTTCTTTGACGTAACAGTGATTATTCACGTAGCAATCCACGCACAACCCTCTGCTCATGTGCCTTCATGTTCTATAAGATATGCGCCAATAAATTCGAATTGAAAAGAAATGCTTAAACGAGAAATACCATGAAATGCTATTTCAGTTTCCCAGAAAAACCTAGAGGCCTTTATGTGGATATCACTTTGCTGTGTTTTCTTGTAAACTACCCCCTGTTAAGTATAAACAACTCGAAAGTGAAAATTGTTTGTCATTCCCCAGCTGGTCTTTCGTTTGCTTGCTAATATTTACCGTTCTATGAAATATCAACGAATCGAAATTAAGAAAAGACCGATTTCTGTTATAAGTTTTCAGTTATTAAAACCTAACAGATTTGGTTATTTCTAGATTACCCTCCTTTTATAAAAACTAGCTGATTCCTGCCGAAGCTCTACGAGGAACGATTCACTCTTGCAAATAATGTACGATATTTTCACCAAAGTATAGGGTTTTAGAGGTGTAACAGAAAACTGGATTTCAACCCCTGGTGTACGAGATTTCCATCCAGTGACTCGCCCTGCAAGGCTCAGTGTTCATATCTTTTGGGTAATCGGGTTCTCAATTTGGCTCTTATTTCATCCGAGGCAGGATGTGTTATTACATTGTTCTTATTGCAAATCGTGTCCTGCTGTTCTTATGGAAAATTTTCTTATAAAGAAAGAAAAGTTTAGACTGCTTTTCATTTGAAAATTGGTAGAGTGTTGACGTTTAGTGGTGCACAGAAAAGTGGAATGCTGTGAAGAATTTGTCTATTGCAAGATTGTAGTGCTTTGGGGGCTTGCAGGGTTCATTTCCTGGTTCATCCTGAGAGGCGCCTATTTCTGATTCTTATAGTCCCTTTTGGAGGTATTTGCGAGCCAATACCCCTTTTTATAGCACCCCAACTCTTGATTTATATCTCCTCAGCAAAGCGGAGGACAGTTCTTTTCATATGAAACTTGTTTTCATTGAATTACTCATCTTTAATTGCATATAGCAAACTGCTGTTAGCTTAGGCCATGAGCTACTAGATTTGGATTTCTGTCTCTTAGTACCGCACATTCTTTTATCCCTATATGTTAGGCATTTCTTGCAAATTCTTTTTTTCCGATGCCCTACACCCGGTCTGATATGCAATAGAATCAGGTTTCTATTCACTTCACATGCACACAAAATCACTCGCACGCTCTGATTTTCCAAACTACCTGTTGTTGTTCGTTGTAATTCTTAAGACATTGTCAATAACATCAGATTGCAAGCATTTATTATTAAGATTGATCTTGTTATGCGAAAATTGGTTATCCTGGACTGTTTATTCAAAATTCACAGAGCTCTGTTTTTCTCGTATACAAGAAAATAGCGCGAAAGCTATGCCTCGCCTCGGGCGGTCAAGTGGCTTTTCACTATCATCACGTTATCAGTTCCTGAACAACAAACTACTACGGCTATCCACTTTTCATTTAGCTTTTGAAAACCTATACTATTGCTAACGATGTCTCGTCGCTCACGATGCATTCAATAAAAGTGCGTTGAGAGAAGGAGACCTGGAGACAAGAAAACTAAGTGTCGAAAAATGTCGTAAGAATTAGTTTTACTCAAGCAAACAGAGTATCGAGAAATCACACTGGGTGGAGCCTCGCGATAGGAAATATGTGATTCTGATTTTCCTCAGCCAACTTAAGGTTTTTGCAGAGAATATGATATTCCTGTGAAGTATGTATCAAACGACACCCGTTTTTGCTAACACAGCTGCCTAAACAATCCTTTCGAAAGAAGCTGGCTGTCGTTGTCAGTCTTCAGAAAACAAACTTTTCCATTGGAAATATTATTATTTGCCTATTCTTAAAACTACGTTTCTCAGCTCATAAAATAAGTAAGTCGAATTAAAAAAGTTTTTATTTTCAAATAAAATTGGTAGCTAATCTTAGACGTTCGAATAGCTATAAAGAAAATGGTAGTTAAATACAAAGCGAGATGATAAGTCTTTTGAAACTAAAGATCAGCTGAAATTGTTGAGTTTCTTAAAGACTTTATTTCCCGTATACTGTATGTTTGATCAAATTCTGCCGTGCCGATATCTTTTGCTAGAAATCCCGTTGCCTTAGGACGACATATCAAGAGCAAGAACAATCTGTAGAGACCTGGTTAAGGGGGTTCGTGAAATTTAAGGTGAAAATGAATATTGACATGGTGTTAAAATGACCTTCCTGGCCATCACCTTTGTATTGTTTTTAAGGATTAAAGGACTGTTAGAAATTGAGGACGATTTGAGGAAATGGGGCCAGTTGTGTAATTTGAGCGTTTAGTAAAGTGCAACAGAAGTGATGCAGTATTTTTGCCGACCATCTTTATAATAGAGTGAATTTTTAAATGAATTTGAACAATAGCCTATAAATGGTAAATTAAGTATTTTGGTTTACTTATTTTTCACTTATTAGCATTAGACTTATACGGATGTGCTTTTTCATGGAAAATATTGATCCTTTTTTACAAGTATCATCTTGTTCGTTTGATAAATGTTTTGGATAATGATCTTGCAAAATCATGTTTAGATGCAGTCTAATGCCCAATACCTCTCATAACAATATCTATCTACTTGGTTGTGAAGAGACAAGAGACATAAAAGCGAGCAGTCTTTCTCTGTGGAACAACTTCTCAATCAAACGCACATGTATTTAACTCATGTAAAATACACGATTTGATACCTCTTGTTGTACCACCACATCTTATGCTACTCCTTGGTTTTAGACTGTATTCAAGACTATACCTTCAGGGTAGTTTACAGCTTTTTGCAAACATGGTGTTATTCTTTGAATTTTTTTTACAGAGGGTGAGCCTTACATCTGTTGACCTCACCACGCTTGGAGAAGCCCATGGAATGATAGCCGACCTGTTGGCAGACTCTTCGCTGCCTCAAAGCGTCACTGGTGCGCTGCGAATCATCAGTGACATGCTGTCGCCTTTACTGCAGCAGAGCTTCAACCGAAACTCGTTCTCGACATCCTTAGTTACTGTATTGGAAAAAACCCAAGTGCACGTGGATGAGGCTAGTGTCAAAGATCAGCCAGATCTCAAGGACGACACGCCTTTGTCGCTGAAAAATGTTAGTATCTTTCTTGATATCAGATCTAGTTCAGTATAAACCTGAATAATAGTATCTGTGATATTCTGCAACTGACTTAGATTGCCTCTTCACTTAAAGACCCTGTTTGCTTAAGGGTGGATCCGGATCAGATCAAAATGAGTACGGGTAGGCCATGCGTTTACCCGGGAACTGGCGGATCCGTTTACTTTTCGATCACGTGTAAAGTATCTGGATCGGATCTGAATACATCTGACCGATCCTGTCCAGGTTTCGTGTAAATGGGGCATTTCACAGTGGCTCTTAGGGTACTTCACAGATGCTAAATTGGCAGAAATCAGCCTAGAGGCTCCTAATCTGCAGTTTCTTTTATGGGCTTTTTTAAAGTATCACATAGTAGAAGAAGGCACTTTTCTTACCCCCAAGCCGTCTCTTTATTGCCTCTCTCTTCAAGGAAAACCCTCTCTAACCTTATAAGGCATGGTGCTAAAACGACAAGAATAAGTCGTTTTCCTTTAATAAAAACAGACTTATAGGAACCGAGAATTATCTAAAACCAAAGGAGAGTCAGAAAGTTGTTAAGGTCACGGTGTTAGGGTGGTTAAGCCACGTAGCTTGGGTCATACTGGCCACCAGGATCGTATTGGTGACCCAGGTCATTGGCTATAAAAACGATTTCCTTAAAAGAAGTATCTGAAAATACCACTTCTCCGGCATCAAATTTCTTTGCATCGCGGGAATGTTTCTACAAGACTTTTTCAGGAACATCAGGCTTTCTGATTGTTCCATAGGTTCATTTAAACAAATGGGTTCATGAAGGATTTGATAAAGGATAAATTTTGCCTTAAAGGAAACAAGGAATCGTGTTCTAAGAGTTTGAAATAGGCCTTAATCAGAAGCACATAGCTACGTCGAAAGGTTAATCTAAAATGAAAGATGCCAGTTTCATATTATGCCACACTTTTCTTAATGTCTACATCAACTTTCTGAATTCCCTATTCACATGGCTTTTGTGTGTTGCTTAACGAGAAAGTGCGAAAGCTAACGAAAAATAAGCAGAGTTACAATTAAGAAGAAGTCAATTATGCTCGCATGATAGATGTTGAACCTTTTGACTTTCCAGTCATCAATTCTTCATTGAATCGCTGTTGCATACCTGAGATTGATTTAAACATCTGATATTTCTGACCACAATTATAGATTATTCGAGATTAAAACTATTTCTGGTAAGGTTGTGTATTTATAGTCTCACATATCTGTATCCTTAATTAAAGTTACCAGTTCTTTTATAAAACAGAACCAGCTCTTTTGAATTATTTATTTAATAACAGCGATGATTATTCTCACTTTTTTGGAAATATTTTCTAGCGACTGACCAGGCAGCTAGGAGTTGGCGTTCGGCGCATGTCAAGTAGTTATACAACAACAACATCAGCAACTGGCATGCCAAGCCTCGATATCGATTATCGTCGGAATACTCAGGTAAATAACCAAGACGACCGTCGAAGTCGAACTCCCAGTCCGAAGGCAAATCGCGCGAAATCTTACGCTGGTATATATAATCGTCCGGAAATTCGTCGTGAATTCGTGAAATCGCGGTCATTTTGTCAGCCGTCGCCACCCGACGCGCGGAAGAATTCGCTTTTAAAAGAACAAGATGGTTCGAGTAGTAAAGACTCAATATTCAAAACAGAACTCTCATGCTCAGATTCAAATTTTATTGACGATAATATTAACGATAACATAACAGACGATGAAATTTTCGAAACATTGAAACCCGAAATTTCCGGAGATGATAAACTGTCGGACACGGAAAAGCCCGTGGAAAGTACGGGCAGCGAAACAACTAAAGCGGAAAAATATTCAACGACGAGCGAAGCTACACCGGTTAAACTGACCGATGAACCATGCACGAAAACGATATTAAAACCTGAATTTGCTTCACCAGCAGATCCCAAGTATTCGTCAAATAGTAGCCGTAAAGTTGACAATCTCAACGTTTTGCAAACTGTTCCGGTAAGAAAGAATTCGCGCGACGAATCTGCGCTACGCATATGTCCTAATGATGGTCATCTTTCAAGACGGGGGTCAGGTGTACCCATGGAATGCTTTACTCAAAGCGACTTCGAGCAGGAGCTGACAGTAGCTGCGTCCCCGGAAATTAAAGAAAGGATGGACAAGTTGCTTAGCTGGGAGTTTCCAATTTTCGAATTGAGTGAGAGGTGTCATATTCTTACACAGGTATGATATTTATTTTTTTGATAATATATACAATATAGAATATAATAAATAGTTTCTTTAATGCTGGCGTACCAGGTCTAAGTCTAATATGATGCAGATCGCATGCCATGCAGCGCAGCACTGCAGCGATTGGTTTGATAGGTTGCGTTGGAGTGGGCCTTTATACCCATAATAATAATAATGAAAACATTTTTATTTTATATTCTTCTACTTACAACAGTAAACTCACTTTACAGGTAGTTACTATCGGCTAGCCTGGTGACAAGTCTACTAATTTTACGAAAGTTATAACATTTAAATAAACATAATAATAATAATAATAATAATAATTATTATTATTATTATTATTATTATTATTATTATTATTTTACAACGATATCCCTTAAGTAAAAATATCCAACTTGAAAATCTAAAACTTAGGATATAAACTCAAAATTCAAGTAATCAAATAAACCTGATCTTCCAGGGATTCGTTCTTGAAGGGGCTTGAATTTATTATTAAGGCTCATCAAATGCCCTTTAAGATGTGTTTTAAAATGGCGTAGCGATGGCAGCTCTCTGATATTAATTGGAATATCAAGCGTTAATGCCCAAGTAATGGAATCCTTTTTTCGGTGGATTTAAGGTTTTAGCATTGGATTCCCGGATAGTTACAGCGTTTTGGGGATATCAGAGTCTCAGTGCTACCTGATTTCTGTAATAGTCATGATACAGATGGCATATATTATCGGATTATGCAAAATTTTATACTTTAATGAGCTACGTCGCCCACTCAGTAGTGTGTGATCTCCGATAAAGGAATCGTTCGACAAATATTTTAATTGGAAGCGGAAAAAATAGATTTAAATTTCGTTGTATAACAGAATTTATAAGAATATGAATTCATATTTAGGTATAAACGTATGTATATTAATTTACATATTTTTATAGATCTTGTTTTTCTTTTTATTTATAGCTGTTTGCTTGAATAATTACTCTATATTATCGTTTGTGCTATTCTTTCATTCTCATCCGTGCTATAAATCCGTGCATTCTCATCCGGATGGAGTTCTTGATGTTGTTTTACCTTATAAAAATTCCCAAATTTTATGTTGAATTTCAAACGAACCAAAGAGTTTTGCAATGTTTTAATTTTTTGATAGATTTATAGACCTTGTTATATTATATTCGATTAAAATTTTGATTTTAAACCAGAACATATGCATTTCACCCTGTGCTATGACTTCCATAACTGCGTTAACACACATTCAAAATATCTTATTCGGTCTGTACAACCCCCTACCCTCTTGGTAATTATATACATAGAAAGGTTTTCTCTTGCACTTTCTTCTTTCTCGTTACTTCATAACTCCATGTCCTAGTTTGATTACATCGAATAATGAGTTACGGCTGGTATTTATCACATGCTAAAATCAAAGCTGTTCGATTTAAGACGGTCATGAACTGCCCAGAACTTTCAATACACTTGTGAGGTTCATTAAGCGGACAATAATCCGCTTATCGTCCTTGTTGTGTTGTGAAGTAGTTTACGAGTAATGTTTCAAATATCTCTACATATATCTGTACAGATTGTTGATTGAGAATAAAAATTCATTTTTGTGGCTCATTAGCGGACAGACAAAGATCTTCCTTTGTAATATAGCCTTATGTAATATTTAAATCAATGTCTTTCTTTTCTCTAGACTGCTTATAAAGTTTTTCAAAACCGTGGATTCTTCCAGAAGTTCCAAATTCCTGAAGATGTGTTTTTCAGGTACTTTCGTCTGCTGGAAAGCGGTTACCATGACATTCCATGTATGTTGATTATTAATATTTAATTAATTATTATGTAAAGACTTCGCATAAGCTACTTAGAGATTCCAGAGAGGCTACTTAATGGAGTTCAGAACCAAAAATCAGGTGGAATTTGAAGAGCGGCGGGCATTGCATAGGTCATTGACAAGTGATGTAAAGATCTTATTCATAGAATGTCTGCCAAAAAATATTCACCTTTATGTATTTTCATATTTTTATTTCTTCCCCCACTTGTTAATTTTACCCAAGGAAATATCACACCAGCTACGCAAAGAAGCCCCTTCCAAATCTCCTGTATCGCTTTTAAGTAAACGAACATAATTCCAAGGAGGAGGAAAAGGTATTTCAGAATATCATTGCCAAGTGAGGTCATCAAAATATCTATTTTTAGGATTTTAGAATTCTGACCCCATAATCTGAAAGAGCGCCAAGAAATACTTCAAAATTGACAGAATTAGTTGAATCTATTTGGAGTTGCCTGAAATGTTAAGAGGTGTCTGTTAAATAAATTTCGCCATTATTTGGGAGATTTGTATTCGAAATGCATTGATTTATTTTAGATTAGTATTTGGTATGCTGCTGACAGAATCCAGCGATCTGCCCTGTCCGTCTCATATCCGCACTATTGCCACCTCTGTGTAGTATTAGAAACAGTAATTAATGTTAGCGGTTTTATCTTGCAGACCATAACCAAATTCACGCTGCAGATGTATTGCAAGGGACATATTACTTTACAAATCACCGAATAGCCGGCCTAACCGTGCCTATCGATGGATCATCTGGGCGGAGCAGTATCGAGAATGACAAGGTTGTGCGAATACCTGATCCTAACGAGCAAGAGGACGTCTATGGCTGCCTGGCTGATCTCATACCAGACCTTGAGCTGATGGCTCTTTACACGGCATCGGCAATGCATGATTTTGATCACCCTGGCAGAACCAACGCCTTCTTAGTTGCTACGTTGAATCCGAAGGTAAGAGATTTTCTGAGATCATTCGTCATTGAGATCATGACTGCCTTTATCCATTGATAATTTTTGTTATGTTTGCACACCCTCCTTGTGTTAGAATCATGTGCTATTAAATATAGATGGATTTCAATAATGGTAACCAACGAATGTAAAGATATGCTTAACAATTACACCTTTTGCTGGTGATAATGCCCCATTAAGGATGTGCTAGCTTCGAGCTTGGGGTTGCTATTTAACTTAAGTCAAACCTTTAAAGATTCTTATACAGTTTGTTATATAATAATGGACGGTTTGAAATGCAATTTCTTTAATCTATAAAAACACTAATTTTGTCCTTCTCCAAGCAATCTATAAACATTAACAAACCCAGATATTGAAGTTAGCATTTTTTATCAGATTTTGATGTCAAACTCGGTTTTCCTTTGTGCTTACCGTAAACCCTCGAATCTCCTGAGGTTGCGTTTTATTAAATTATCACAAAATTCATACTTTTGGTACTAATTAATTAAATGCTCATAAATAAATTCCTACTAAAATAAACGAGGTGTTTTAGTAATGTCTTCTTTCCTTAGCCCATTGATCCTTAACTTGAGCATCGACGCTAAAATCTACTCCCTAGTCAACAAAAAGCAGCTTAATTCAACTCAGCATCCTAAAATATCAACTGTCAATCAAACATAAAACAATAGTACTTCTCAGTTTCCGTGACACATATGTAGGGAGTTTTATAGATAATAATGTAAAATTAGTTCGATATTTAGGCCGCTTTTGGCCTACATCATTGATTGTTCACTTGTTCGGTAATATGAAATTGTCATTTATTGTCATATAAACGCTCCTTGACTCGTTAATGTAGGTTCTAATGTTTCTTTTATCTTCAAGGCACTGCTTTACAACGACCGGTCTGTCCTTGAAAACCACCATGCTGCGGCGGCCTGGGCACTACTGCTCTCAGATCCAGCGAATAATTTTCTTTGTGGTTTGGAATCTTTCGATCTCAAGCGATTCCGGTTCATCGTTGTTGAACAAATTCTGTCAACTGATCTGAAGAAGCATTTCGACTTCCTTACCGAGTGGAATGCGAAGGTTCGTTTAATGCCTGCTTACGCAAGTGTTTTTCTTGCCACGTGTAATTACCAGCATTTGATTTACCACTAACAATTTTTTTGATTAAACGCAGTAATGGTAATTGACTTTATATCAGAATTATTAATTCAATAAAAAATTCTACTTAGGTATTGATAGATTTATAAACGATTAGAAACAATATGCTTAGTCAAAAGCATTTTTCAGGTCTCCGAACAAGGTGGTGGCCTAAACTGGTCAAGTGAAGCAGACAGACTTCTTGTTGGCCAAATGTGCATCAAATTATCGGACATTTCTGGACCATCAAAGACATGGGATTTGCATTATAAGTGGACCCAAAGAATTGTGGAGGAATTCTATCTTCAGGTAGGCACATATTTTTTCAGTCAGTTAAAGCTTTAGCGTTTGGTGTTATATCGAAAGTTTTCACTAATCGGCATTTTAAGATCAATCAGCATGCAGCCAACTTGCTGATCTGTATTCATAACGTATTTCTGTCTTCGCCCCTCCAAAGTTTTCTTGGAACTTACGCAGATGAGTTGTCTTTCCAGTCGATGTCATTTTTTGCTACTCGGCACATTTTTTCCTGTCACTGTCTGTCATTTTTCGTCGTGACCAGCCCGAAATGTAACTGTGTCCTACCTCGATAAGCTAAGTGCAACCTTCTTGTCACCTTTTGAGACAAATCTAAGTCAATCTTGAAAAGCTATCGGGTTATTTCTACAATCTTTTACTCATTCCCATCAACCCAATTCTAGGCACTACCGGACTTTGATGTGTCACTTAAAAATGTCTTTTTCAAATGTCTTTCCATTTCTAATTCTCATAGAACATTCTTTTTCCTGCTACTTCCGTCAATAGCATCTCCTTTTGTAATGTCAGGAAACAATACTAAATGTTTGGAGACAACCCTTCATTAACTGACGGATAGATGAATGTGTACATTTGTTATTGCTATCTTTTGTCACTTGAGAAGAAAACATACAATGTCTTAAAATATGTATATACATTCCAGGGCGATGCAGAGGCCGCGCAGGGGATGCCAATTTCACCATACATGGACAGAACGCAGCCACGCCTGCCTCAGTTGCAAGATTCCTTCATCAAACACTTGGTAGGCCCTCTTTACAATTCTTATGGAAGAGCAGGACTTCTTCCTGGGGACTGGGTAGAGAATGAAATCGATCCAGATGACGAGAACGATGACGAGGAGAATTATGATGCCAGCAGTCAAAGTTTCACCAATGATTCTACGTCCGATAGGTCAGATGACGAGGCTGAGATCCGGACAGTTTCGGAAAAATTAGACAAGGCTATAGAAATGAAAAAGAGAAAGACCATATTTTGCGAAACAACCAATAATATTAATCGCAATATAGAGCGTTGGCAACAGGTCATAAACGCTGAAACCATTGTAAAGGAGTCAGAGAACAAAGTAGCAGAGGACGAAGAAGATAAAATGGCGAAAAGCGACAATAACAGACAAGAGACCATTGAGGAGGAGGAGGAAAATGACAATTCAGGTTCTAATAGGGAATGATTGTTTATTTATTAATGTAAATGGAATTCACATTGTAGACAATTCAAGAGTGCTTTTATCATGTTAATATTCTAGTACTTCATGTAATAAACTCACTAATCTCAGAAAATAAACTTACGAAAAATGCCAAAGGTTGGGTAGTTTTAGAAGATAGCGCGTGCAAATTACCTCAAACTCTTTTCAGAATACTTTCGGTCTTATTTTCAAACCCATTCTTAATTCGAAATAGGCCATTTCTGGAAAGTTATTTATTCTGAAGAGCTTGCTGTGCACCAAAGAGTGTTTTTCCTTAATAAATCAGCTCCTCCACATGTACATTTTCTTTACAATGCTTAGAAACAGAAATATAGAAGTGCAGAACTTGGACAGTAGTTATCTTTGACATATTCCAAGCCACAACTTTTAAGTTACGAATTTGAACTCCTTTGCTTTTAAATAAAATCATTGTTTTAGTAGGAGATAGAGGAAGCACAACCTCAGTTTCTGGAAATCTGCCTCTCGAAACCTGGGACTAGTCATTGCTTCTGTCGTAGCACAGGAGGCAGTGACTGGCAAATATTTTTAGGCAATAACTGCTTGGAAATGTAAGCTGCCAAGAACGGTTAAGTATCTTGATTGCTACAAATTAAGTTTCAATCACCTGGCAAACATCTTTTCGCCTGTCTGATGCCTTTTTATCCCTCTCCTCTCACACATTTCCTTGGGATTAATTGTATATAATGTGCAAAGCAGTCTGATAAAACATAGCTTTAGATTTCCGTTCCCAAAGGTTTATTATAAACGGGGCTTCATTTGCACGGACACAAACCTATGCAGGCAGAACGAAAAGTCAAAATGACACAAGGAGGACAAATCTGTTAGAACAGAACTGTTCTCTAAAAAACCCTATTCTGGTGAACACTCACTTTGTTTTCCGCTTCCTGTTGATAGGCAAACGAAATTTTTGACTCTGCTGTAAAGAAATTTGCATCTCAAAGATCTGTGATTCAAACAGCAACAATATTTTCCTATAAATTCCCCCTCTATATTTTCCATTGAAGGATCAAGTTCAACTAAGCCCCTTGTTACGCTTTTTCCGTTGATATTCTTATTATTTAAACGGTATATCCCCTTTATCTAAAACATATCATTCAACCCCCCCCCCTCATTATTTCGAACTAGCATTGAAGGAATCTCCTATTGTTAAGATAAAACCTTTGCAGACACGGCCTTTATTATTTTCGTCAAATTGACTGTATTTTGTCGTTTTCCTTTAAAGTATTTTAGCCAATAAACCACTGGCATAAAATAAGTGTCTCCAGTTCGAAATTTTCTCCTCGTTCTCCTCGTTTTTGATATTTTGTTTTCTTTTTAGCTCGTGTTGTGGTAAGCTGTTTACGTTTCAAATGTTGAAAAATTGAAGATTCCTTCACCCCGTTGTATGAAAATTTGAAGATTCTCGATCAACTGCAGCAATTAATTCCTTTACTTGTATTTCGTGGTATTATCCAGACCTCATGTAGCATTATTTATGTGACAAAGTTACGTATTTATATTGTCGCTCACCAGTTTTGCCAGACAGCTGTTCTCTAATTTCCCACGTGTTTTCTAATATTCGCGTTGTTGCTGTTGCTGCCTGTTGCCCGCAGTGCCTTAAGACATATGTCAGTAACCAAAAAGAAGTTAATGATGATGTGTTAACTATTACCCTGCAAAATTAATATTTATGCGATAAGGTGTGTATGAATTTGTAATAAATTCACGTTGTAATATCTAGAGGTATGTTAGTTGTAAATAAAACTTAAACCTCATGGTAATGCTGTCAATTTTTTTGAACAAATCTATGAACAGTTTGAGCAAACCTTTATTAGCTGTATCAATTTTGCCTTGGATCTTTGTGGCAGAATATAGGCGCTAAATCTTGATTGGTTGATAGCCTTTGTCACATGGTGTTATAGTGACATGTGACTGGTGACATGTGTTTTGCCAAACCTTACGGCAATAGGTCATCATGATATCAACTACCACGCAATACTAAAAGCCACCAAAAATCCTATATAAATTGCTATAATATAAGTTCCAAAGTTTTCACACTTTGCAAGGCGCAATTTCAACTACGGGCCAAAACAAGATGAATCGTAGGTTATATTATTATTTTCGAAAAACATGCATTTGGAAATGTCATTTAGAGCGTAATAGGCATGGCTACCCGTTGAACTTTACCAACAGTACTGATGTCTGTAGCAAAAGTAGAGCACTCCTTAGAGATAGCTAGATCGGAAGATATAAAGGCTTCTGCTTTATGCTGTATTGTAAAATAAAGTATTTTTTTTTAAACCAAGATTCTTCAATAGCGATCGTATAATCAGCAGCAACCAACAACTACAAAATGACGACTTCATTCAACGAAAACTTCGACTCGACTCGACTTGCACTCAAAGAACATACGCTTTTAAAAACATGAGTGACGCACACAAAACCCTAATGACACAAATTAACGGCAAATGAACTAATAACAACTAAAATAGAGATGGCACGATGACAAACAAAATTACTGACGCAAACATCGAAAGACAAACATCGAACCACAAACACGATGCACGACAGACAAAACTAGTTGTATAACAGTATCATCCTCTGTTCCTGTAATTCGCCGCATTCTGTCCAAGTTTATTTTCAAAAGTCCAGCTTTCAACTGTAATATTAGATGAAAAAAAACTAGAAGTGGCTTATAATAAATTGCTTTGAAAAAAGCAAACTTCCTGACGTTTTTTACTCAGAAGAGTGTTGGAAGAAAAGCTCTAGTTCCTTGTTTCAAAATGTTTACTTTTTTTCAAAGCCATTTTGATTTCTGTACCACAAAAAGGTTGCTTACTTATTATATCATTATGCTAATGCTCTTTTAAGGAACGCAATGAGAATCAGTATATTTTAGAGCAGAGGTGTCAATCTTTTTTTGTAGGGTGAGCCACAGACCTTCTGCCAAGGCGGGCCAGATGGACATTATCGGCAAATTTTGCTCTGAACATGAAAAATTATATGAAACGTTACGTAAACAGATATATCAAGAAAGTATCAATTTGAAATGTTTTTGGGTGCAAAAGTTTATTCACACCACTTTTTAAACTGGTAGCTTGTTCATGCTCAGTTTCATAAGAGAAAGCGTTTAAAGCACAACGAAATCATAAAACAAATTTTGCATGTCCTTTGCCAAAAATCTTATTATTGCACATATTTCATATTTTCATTTCTAACTGACATTCATTTTGTTAATGCTCATCTCCCTCCTAATAATTTTACAACATTTTTCGAAAATGGTACCCATAGTTCTGCACATATTTCAAAAGCTGATACAGATAATTCCGCACTTTTCAGGAAAAGGCACCCCTAAATAATGTCACATCCCCCTACCTTCAAACATGTTAAGGTACCACCTTCCTCCCTCCAGTAAAAGCCTAAACAAAAGAATGGGAAATTTTAGACAAGCCTTTTAGATTAAATGTTTTATCGGTACCAAAGTATTATGTTATATCATTCTTTTGTTATAATTCTAATATTAGTCATTGAAAATGTGCCCTTTTTAGTAGCTGCCCCCGCCGCCTCAAAATGCTTCCGGTGCCTCGGTTGGGCACCCTTGTTTTAGAGTCAGAAATGGCTGAAGAATGTTTATGCAAATTACCCCTCCAACTAGACAGGGTCGTCCCTAGATTTTGTGCTCAAGAAGGGTTGCCGTTTGCCGACAATAAGGTGTGCCACAGAGACGTTTTGGCTCCAAGAAAAGGGCCTGGAGAAAATGATCATAAGGGGGGCCGCTCTTTTGTATTATATCTCCAATTAAAAACCACAGGGCGCCAAGAATGTAGCCTGTGCTCCAGACCTTAAATATGGGATGTTGAGGTTTTTATTGCTTTTTGTGCTATAACTAGAAATTGTCGGTTTTGTCGGTAAAATTATGTCATTTGTCGGCAAATTTGCTTGCTTTTGTGGGCATTGCCCCCCCCCCCACTTGAAAAATGAATTTCCGCCACTGTTTCGAATCTTGTGTTACCTAGGGAAAAATTCAAAGTCGGCTCCTATGAAACGTGGCGTAAGAATGTTTGAATCTAGAAGCATAAAACAATTGGATCTGGCTGCCCTCAGTCCCATTAATTTTCTTTGCGCTTTTGGACAAGTTCTGTTACTTACAAAAGAAACTTTTAAGCTAAAATGCAACAGCAACAGCAAAGAAATTCTTTGAACAACAACAACAATTACAACACAGGGAACTGTAATGATAAATTGATTTCAAGATTCCGGAAGTGTTGCTCAAGAAGGTATGAATTTGTGATCTTTTATGTCAGTTCGTGAGCATAATTAAATGCGAATGACCCAGTTCCGGTGCTTGCAGGATCTATTGTTACCGATAACTTGTCTTAATAGCTAGTAAATGTAATGGTAATGACGTCAATCAATTTAAAATACTTATCCAAAAACGTAACAACCATAACAACCTATTTATCTAACAATATATTTCTGTCAGATAAACGGTAGAAATGCTAGAAAGGAGTTTCAGGGGATGATGCCGCCAGATTTTTAGGGGATAATGCCTATTTTGAAACATAATTTGTAAACAATGTAAACAAGAGAAAACAATGAAATGTTTGGTCAATTTTTGTTTTGTTTGATTCCGCCTACGTAGTTTGCACTTCAAGAGAGCACCCTCATTGCAATTGCAGAATATGTTCGTTGTGAAGTTTAAATGAGTAATATTTTTTATCTTATTCATCAACTATTATATGTTTTTAAAAATATATGATATAAGATTTGACTTGTATTTTGGAAGATGTTTGGCATACACCAGGGTGCATTCCATGTTAACTGTACGCCGAAGGTCCACATGGGCATTTGTTTAGAAACGCCAATAACATAAAAGCAGTTAGTAAAACTGTAAACATTGTTGCGCCAGGACAAATGAAAATGATTATTAGAGAAAACTGTGGTGCATGAGTCTTTATTTTACGTGAACTATGTATATGGCTTCTTGTTTAGCATGCCAACTAAAGAAAATTTTAAGTACACCAAAATTTTTTTTATTGGTTTCCATGCCAAACGCCAAAAAAACCTGGGTGTAAGCTGAAGAAGAGATTGATGTTTAATACTCTGAGGAGTGTCAGACCAAAACAAATTCGTTTGCTTTTTTCAAAGCCATTATTCAAGTAATTTTGCAAGGTACAAATAATTTCCCTTGGCTGAAAGTTGTTAAAAAGCAAACAGAAAAATATGTTTTCTCCAAACTCATTCTGCTTTGTCTGCCTTTGACTATGGCCCTTAATACACTCTTTTTTATAGGAACCAGCAAATTTAAGTTCAGACTGACTTTTCTTAATTATGTTCTTAAATAAATAGTGTGTAAACAGTGCGATTGCTAGCTTTTTTGCTCTAAGGAAGTGTTCAGGCCTCATTTGCCATCAACGTGAGTGAGACAATCTTCATTTGCTGATAAGTTTTAATATTTACCGAAAAAGCACCCACACATCGCTAAAAAATCCTCGTTTTGTAGCTCTTCATATTATTGCTCTTCAGTCCATTGCATCCTGCTTTAGGAAACAGAACAGAGAATGATAAAAATTCTCAAGCTGACATTACGTCTTTTATTGAGTGAAAGGTCGAAGGTTTGTGCAATACGCATGAGCTTGATGTGTTTCATATATGGAAAGTCTAATAAAAGAGAGATTGAAAAAACTGCCAAAATATATAAGGTCAATAATGATCATAGTTGTACTCCAATAAAGAAAATGAGCTTGGAAATGGTGTTTCAAATAAAACATGATTGTCATATTTTAGCAGGTTCAACAGTATAAGATTTTATTTACTTTGGTGCAAGTCTTGTATAGATTTCAAATCATTGTCACTATCCAATTTTACAATTTCAAAGAAGTAAATTTTGAATTAACAAGTGAGAAATTCATAACTTTTCAAGTTTTTTTAACTTTTAGTTAACAACCTAATGAGGGTTTCTTCCACAGTTTTGCTTGGGAGAAGTGAGGGGTTACTGTTTCATCTGATCTGATGCTATTTTATCTTCAGGTTTCTATTATCTGTTACTTGTTGTCTATTGTTTTCTATGCAATTTGATTGGCTAATTTTCATTCTTGTTGTGTAACTGCCTTACAGTTGTCTTACTCATTTTCAGGAGATTACTTACTTTGAGATCTGTGTCATCTGGTTATTTGCAATTATAAACATCTTTTAACAACTGATGCAACGTAAAGCATTTGTTTGCATGGCTTTGCTGGTTAAGCTATTCTAACGACTGATAACTCTGTGTACTAGCATCCAAAAAAGAAGCATCATCAAGGCCTGTTTACAATACCACAATGCCTAAGAATCCACTTAAAGTGGTTATATTAGGTGCTCAGTTTGCTGGAAAGACATCTTTGATTGAGCAGTGTGTCAATGGGGTGTATGAGAAAGAAAGTGTATGTATCCAGTATCTACTTCCTTTGTAAATGATTAAACATTTAATATATGGGACTGAATCTTGTCTATGCATAAGGGAAGATTATGTGCAATTTTCTCACTTCTGGTTGCTTACATTATAAAATATACGTACATTATAAAACCCAAGCCATAAAATTGTTTCCATGTAGAGAATCATCAACAAAATTAGTTTTCAGTTCATATATAAGTGACTTCTCTATTCAAAGTACCCTATTACTTTGAAAAATAAGGGGTCTCTTAAAATTTTTTGGGGGCACTAAATCAAGGGGGTTATTAAAAAGAGGAGGTTATTAAAAAGAGGGGGTAATTCATATTTCTTTTAAAATACTAGCTTCCAACTGTTACGTTAAGGAACTGGCAGTCTCCACATATGATCCTGCTTTTTCTTCATTTTTCAGAAATGCCCTTTTCCAACAAGGTGGCATTTTTGCAAAGGGGAAGTTTAAAAGAGGGGAGAGGGTCAGCATTTTGGGGGGTATTACAAAGAAGAGGCCATGCTTAAGAGAGACGTTGCGCCCCATTGATTTTTTTGGTAGGTGGTGTCATGCCTCTCCATTACACAGCTGAACTAATGGGTATAGATAATTTAGTTTATTTTTAGATTGAATAATCAAACCCCCCTTTCCATCCTATTCAATCGTATCAAGCTTTCAGTCTCAAGGAGAATTGGCCCAGGGAGCTAAATTCAGCAAAGAAAAGATTGATTTTGATTACTTTGAGGCACGGGGGTTTTGATTTGCTTTGAAATTTTACCAAATGTGAAGAAAAGATACTTCTTGACTGTTCAACAAACTTTGGTTTATAATAACCTTATAAAAGTGCCACGTGTGCGAATTCCTTGATTAAAATGCTGACGACAATATATTAAAAATTTTACGCCGCATCAGTTCTGCGGTCACATAGGCTTTTGAAGAACTCCAAGAGTGAATAATCGCTGTCATGTCAAATCGTATTCAAGCACAATGATTCAAGGCAACAGAGAACACTCTTTGCCTTGTGATGTTTCTGTTTCCGCAAACAGTGTTTTTTTGTGAGACCTCGACAAACTTCCTTATTGCTGTCAAGCTTTTAGGCCTTTCCACAGCTTGCGAGTTGAAAGCGTTTGTTCGGTTGAGATATATTGAGCATTCATAACATAGATTTACGAAAATCGTTTGATAAAAGTGTCGTGGTATTAAGCTGTTTTTAAAGAAAATTTCCTTCAATGGTTGATTGTTGGATCCGATATACGGCCTGTTGGAAAACTGAAAACGCCACAGAAGCTATGCCAAAGGCGTCCCGTCTGTTGAAAACAGTTACTCTCGGAGCCAATGCAGTTGGGAAGACTTCGGTTATCGAACAGTTGGTTTTTGGCTTCTTTGAAGAGAATAAGGTGTGAGGAAAGTTGTTTATTTAATTACAGGGTCCCTGTGTTGAACTTCAAAATGGGTGGCAGGGCCTACGTCACGCATTTAAAAGGGGGGGGGGGCAAGGCTTGCAAAAGTAGGGGGTCAAGGCTTTTCCCCTTTCACTGCAACTTTAAAACGACTTGCTTCGCAAGAAAGTAGGGGGGCATGGTCCCTCCGGCCCCCTGGTGGCGTGGGCCCTGGCTAGGCCATAGAGTAGGAAAGGTTTGTTCGATTATCAAATCAATTATCAACATTGAATCTTGTTGAGACATGCCCCTCTGCCACCCTTTGGCGCAGCCCCTAAATTGTTGCGACGTGGAACCAGTTGATGAAATAAACATTATTGAATAAGTTTTTGACATTTCCAGCAAATTTTTCTTCTTGCAATTTTCTCTTGCTACATTTCATGATTTTCATTCCAAATTTATTTTTTGTTTGTTTGTAACTGTTTGTTCGCAATTGTTTGTTTGCAACTGAATGCAATTGCTGTTTTAAATTTTTATTTGAAATTCTTTATTCATGGTAACCAAAGGCTTTCGATGACGCATGCCAGCCTCTCCAGCCTCCATCCCCCATGAGCTACTTTGTTTGCCTATTAAATTAAGCTTGTTGTATAGGCCTTTTCACATATTTCTTAAAAATTTATCAAGTCAGCTCTTTTTATCAAAGGGGTGGCAAAATCTTAAAGTTTTTTATTTTTTGAATACATTAAGAGTCATGCACTTAGATGCCAAAAGTTAGAGGTTTCGAAACATTACACGAAGTTTGCTTTTCTTGAAACTTTGCTTTGAAATTTGTGAAGGGTAACATGCATGGTGTTCCGAAATAAACTCAAGATAGAGTCAACAGTAGGCTACTGTAGGGTATGATATTCTAAAAAGCTGTTTTCAAAATGCTCTCCAACCAGTAAAAATTTGATGGAGAATGAAGTTTAGATCTAATAAGTTTTCGGTCTGTAGGCCTTGGTCGTAAAGCGAAATTCAGAAAAGCACTCTTGCAGCAAAAGTATCTTTTGTCCGTCTAATTCAACAATGCCCCTGTCTTATTTAAGGCTGCTACTTTGATCAAAATTCGTTATACACAAATTGCCAATCCAATAATTTCTTCTTTTGATTTTTCTTACCTGATTAGCCCTGGTTGTTAATTGTAAGGCAATTCAAAATTTTTGACCTACCAATATTTTCAGTGTAGTAGACCTTGGAGCACAAGGTCTGGAACCGATGTCTATTGGCAAGTTATTGCATTCGTCAGCAAATCTGGAAAATTTCCGTTTCACTGACAAATAATTCTAATTATCATAGCCATCTTTTGGAAAGTTTCTTATCAGACCTAGCCCCATCGAAATTCATTTGCGACGGCCCTGTCCAGGATATTGTCTGTGGCCACACATGTACGTTGGTTACCAATTATGTAGGCTGGCCAGCAGACCTTGGTTACTATGTCCAAACCTTTGTTATCTATTTGGTAACCATGTTAATTATCTTCTCATTCTACCTATCCCTTGGCCAATCACAGTATTTTGTTGGTTGCCATTGTGTCTTTCTTGGAACGTAATTTTCATCTCATAATTTTGGAATTTTTGTCCATAAATTTAAACTCATTCCTCTGTAAATTTGTTTTTTAGTGGTTAGGAATTATGGTTAGGACAAAGGCGACAATCTTTTGTTCGAGACTGCTATTGAAGAGCTAGCCTGCGTTACAGACCTTTAGTTAGGAGGATAAATCCTCCTCAATTATGGTCTGTGACGCAGGCTATTGGAAAGCAGGCTAGGTTGATCAAGAATCGTGATTGTTGGAAACATAATCAGACTTTTTTTATCAACCCAACAACGATTCAAGTCTATATGACATTTTTGCATTTTGGTTAGAGTTAATAAGAAGCGATTTTATCAGGCATTTTTATCATCCATTTTCTTCTTTAGGTAGTGCTCAGCTTTTCAAGTGAATTTAAGTTTTCTGTTTCACTTATTGTTACGTCCTTTTCTATATTTCCTTGTTTCCCTTTAGAATTTCCTAAACGTTCTTTGTAATACTTTATTGTGAACTAAGAAGCAATGCTGTAATTAGCCATAAACTGATAGAAAAGTTGCCAATCAATTAGCGAATGCGTGGAATCACGCTCACTGATTGATCAATTTTCGGAGAGAGCTTGTTCACATCATATTATCACTCCCTTAAAAATTCCTGATTTTCTCCAGCTTCAAATCAACGATTGCAAGCCACTGATCGATATTGTGATGTTGGGTCTCAGGAATTTAGATAGCAAGGATCGTTAGATGAAGAATTGTACAGTATGTTGTAAAGCTACACTATACAATAGGACCTATTTAGGAAAAGTTAAATCGGTATCAAATCGACTGAGATATGATCCATAGATTGGTAAAGGATTTCCCTTGTATTTTACTGGGTTTGTGAGTTTTTAGAACTCATCGCAAAGTACAGTGCTTTGATCAAGGAAGAGCCTTGTAATATCTATTCTCCCTCTCATTCGAACTTCAAAGTATGTACTTTAAAATTCAAGCTCTTCTTTGCAGACATTTCCAACAGTAGAAGACACATACGAAGCATGGGTTGAGGTCGAGAGAGCTCAAAGAGAAAAGATTAGAATCTACGACACCGCAGGACTTGTAAGTCTTCCTATTCGCTTATCGTTAGTTGAAATAATCAAAGATTAAACACATTGCTGTTTAATTTTCTGCGAGATATGACAACTGCACAATCAATTATTTCGTAATTTCTTTTGATATTACACTATGGAATAAAAACATCCCAAGCTGGGTACTCATTATTGCGACCCCCAGGGGTCTGGGCTTCCATGTTCCCTAAAATTCTCAAAAGAACTTTTCTGTTTTCAAAATGTTTCTTGAATGTTGCCAAATGAACTTTCGAGATCTTGTCAAAATGTTCCCTTGATCTCCATCAAGAAAAGAGATTCAAATTTCAAATTTTCCAGAAGTTCAAATTTTCCCTTTGAAAAACGACAAGTTCCCTTGTTCGATTTTTATTCACGATGTGTATGCAAATTGTACTCCAATGCTTGAAGTTTTCTACATCGTTATAGTTATTAAGTGCCTTAATACGGACGATAAGAACTGTCTGCAAAGTTCACATATCGTACTGTCTAAAGGAAGTTAATCTTTAGTATCTGAATGGGGTAATGAAACTGTTTAAAATATTTAATAGAAAAATGAAAAGATCTCAAGGCAAGATTATCGGTCCTATCCAATGAAAAGGAATTATTTTATTATCTGGAACGTTAAGCCTCATAACCAGGTACAGTGCATTGATTAGCCAGAAAGCGTTAATCAGGTCCATTGTCTGTTTGTCCATTTCATTAATATTGGCTTGGTTGGTTAGAGATATCAGATAAGGTAGCTATATCTGTTTTGCCTTCCACAGAAATAGTTTTGCTTCTTTTTACAAAGGCTTTTTTCAAAGCCAAATTTAACGTCTCAAGTAGTTCCCCTTAAGTCCTCATTTATAGGACTAACACTTGCGTAGCAATGAAAAAATTCACGCTGTAAAACTTTGCCTTTTAAGTTCTCTTAAAACCTTTTAAAATATAAGTGTATTGGAGTGTCTGGGTCTCAAATCATGTAACGAAGCTTTGTTTTTTATGTAGAATAAACTGAACTGAAAATCGTAGACTCAGGGGGGCAACATTTTGGCGTTATTTTTCTATCAACAGGCCACTAGTTAATACCACCATTGGCATAAGCGTCAAATCTTGATTTACTGAGAAAGGAACAGCCAAATTGGGAGTTCCTTTCAGATTAAGCCATCAAATTGCAAGAAAAGACAAATTTGGTTTTTGACAGCCTATCCTTCACAATGTCCTGATACTACGTTTTTTAGTGGAATTCGTTTGATTTTTGCAGATGTTTTCAGGGCAAATTTTTACGGGTGGATTTTTCGTAATCGCTTCAGGATACAAATTATGGCAAATGGCCATCGATATTAACATAAAATGTGAAACATACTAGTGTATTTTTTCACATTCTCTACTTTATGCTGCTAGTTTTTTTATAACCAACTGCAGTTTAGACTTGCGTGATATATGTCAAGAAATAATATATTGATAAGACAGCAAGGCTGTAGAATACAATTTAGCAAATTGCTTCAGCTTTTTTTAGTTTTATATCCTTTTGATTACCCAGATTTTGTCAAATGCTATAATGACGACATGTTTTAGATAACTGGCAGAGCACGGTCGTCTTTTCTACTAGCAGTTTTGTTGACTTTTCTATAGGCACGCAGTACCAATTGGGCAACTGTACCGGGCATATGCTCGCGTTTTTCGATCCACAACTGGGTATATATATTTTCCAGTTACATATCTGTTATATCCATGTAACTATTTTTATCCGCAGAACGTAGAGTCTCCACAAGTTCCTTCCCATTACCTTCATATCGCTGATGTAAGTACAAACACTGTAAAAATTATCGTTGCCTGTATCATCCATTCAGAATTTTTTCTTTGTGACAACTTTTAATTTCACATACCTTTGTACGATTTTTTTATTATATAGTAATAAAATGCAAATTACTTGCATTTGCTATACACTTTACCTTAACAAGACTTTTTATATTAGGAAACTCAATATTGTACCAAAATCAAGCTTCTAATGTCAGTATATTATGTCCTTATGTCAGTATCAGTATAGCTTCATTCCATGCCTGAACACCATTTGCTTCCTTTTTCTTGCCTTTTAAAATTTGTTAAATTCTCCACCCAAAAAATATCGCCGGTTTTTAAATTTCAAAAGAGTCTGATCTTAAGATAAAGAATAAACAAGAAATTATAACGGTTTTGTTAGGGTACCTTTAATGATGTTTCGATCAAAGAGAGGGGACTTATTATATAATGTTTTATGTCAAAAGTTATCTAACTCATTCATTAACAAGAGCTATGATTTTGGCTAGGATCTTTGCTTCAATATATCGTTGAAAGTATTTTGTTCTTTTTAGGGCTTTATACTCGTTTTCAGCGTTTGCTGCGAGAAAAGCTTCAAACTCGTGCACGATTTGAAAAAGGAAATCGATCGTGTACGAGGAAAAGATGTAAGTAGTCCGTTTCGGTAAAACCAGTTCATGTTACAGGCTCCTATCCTGGTTCCTACCCTGATGTTTTCACTAGCGAACAGATGATTTTTTCTCTGAATCTTTTTTCTGAGATCAATGCCTTGAACAAATAACCCTTTTTAAGGATATCTTTCAATAACCCTCACACAAAACAGCATGCAGAGAATTTTCTTTATGTCTTCACTACAAACATTATTTTTTGTAGTTATTTTTTGAAATAGGCAGTAAATTTGGTACGCGATTTGGGGGGTTCCCCATAATCATGAAAAAATATTAATGACTGCACGATGGATCTTACAAAGGAAACACATCCTCTTGCATTATCTTGAAATTGATTTTCAAAATGTATTAACTTTGGAAATAATATATCTTTGAGATATTGTTGCGACGAGTTGCGTGATGATTGCATTAAGCGTGAAACTCGGAGTAGCAACCTAGATTTAAACGTGAAACTCGGAGTAGCAACCTAGATTTAAACGGAAATTCGGTGTAGCAACTTAGAACTGCCCTGTTCTATACACCAAAGAGCGTATCTTTCGATATGATTGTTGTAAGGCAAGAATAAGTGTTTTGCTCTTTTTCCAGTTCCCTATTTTGGTTCTTGGAACTAAAGTTGATTTGGTGGAGGAAAGAAAATGTGATCATAACAATATTATGCAATGGTCTGATACGGAAAAAGGTTAGTGTGCATGCCCGCCGGTACCATTCTCTCTGTTGATGCTGAAATAGTGTGCATAGAGAACTACAGGATAAATCTTTGAGCCATGTGAGAAAGTATAACACACCAGTGTGTGAATAAATGAAAGGGCACTATAGCAAACTGCTCGACGGACTCCGATGGATGGAATTCTCGCGGCGAAAATTCGATAGAAGTATAGCAAATAAGAAACACTGCAAGGGCAGAGAAAAAGCAATAATAAACACACGTAAATTTAATGTGGCTAATATTTCCCCCGGCATACGGGTCTCCAACAGACCAAAAGTTCATCATACCATTCCAGGCCTTGGGTAGTTGTTGGAACTGCTTATGTTGCAGAAAATTTTAAAAATAAAAGTTTAGATAAAAATGCAATTTTCACGTCATTGCCTGCACTTATTTTAACGAAATCTGATGTTATTCTATCGAGATATTTTATATTTTATCCATCTAGAATTTTAGTCATAAAAGCATATACAAGGCATGACCATGGTGAGCGTAAGAATGCCGAGGCCTTTGCATTGAGTGTAAACATTTACATGAAAGAAATCAACCAATACATATGAGAAAAGATACAAACTGGAAATAGAATAAGTTACAAACGTTGAACGAAAAAGATTCTTGCAAAAATTATTCAAAATACCTCTCAGATGATTTGATAAACTGTATTGATGTTTCAAAGATTTTTTAGTTAGACACAAAAAGTAACATTGAATGACCTTAGCGGACTACATAGCTGTAGCTTAGCTAAGTGTACAGGCACTGGCCATTGTAATTTGCTTAGATACTCATATGATCACTGTGTTTTATTTTATTACAGAATATTTTCTTGCCTCATTTGATGCAAATATTTTTTCATTTAGTTTTTTAGAGAACTCAAGACAAAATCATAATGTTTATGCTCACTTTTTAGTGAAGTTGTTCGAGGTTTTGACATCAAATCGAAAGACACTTCAGGAACCAGTCACTTGGCTTGTGAAGAAAATGGTATCATGTTGTGGTGAGTCTTTAGACAGAATTCAAATATGATTTTAAGTCAAGTACAAGACTCGAATTTAGGTGAAATTTCGAAATTGCTTGCATGATTTTGATTGATATTTGACAAAAACTTTAGGGACATGAAATTGATCTTCAAGATGTATGGGCCTTCCAATTAAGCTTCCCGTTGAAAGAGAAAAAGGACAGGAATTATTCCAATCAAATCTTACCAAATTAGAACATAGTTGTAGGCTTCTTAGGTGTTCAACGCTAGTTGGAATTTTTTTGCAAATGCTTGTAAATTGGTAGGATTTAGAGATGATCGTTAAAGAGTGCAATCTAAAATAGAAGAGACTCTAATCAACGTTCAATTATGTTGATAAAAATGCATAAATTGCTTTAAATTTTGCGGTATATACAAAGTTTGCTAGGTTATTTGGAATGTGAAATATTTGATCCGAGCCTCAGATACTGGAATTGATATAATCATGGAATTAACAATCCTTAGACGAATATTTGCGTTTGTAGGTCCATTATCTTATTTGGTTTTTTGAATTTTTATATTCAGGTCATCGATTAATACTCCCTTTGACATAATTTGGTCTTGCTGATTGTTATCTCGGTATATGGTTAACCAGTAATCTTACGGTTTTGGTTAATAAATTGAGTATTAAAGAATACCCAAAAAGTATTTGAAAATAATCCAATCCAGTTTTAAAGGTCATGGCTTCCAAATTACAAAAAGGAAAAGCAGATAACTTTTTTCAACAAAATATTTAACTATCAAAACTATATCAATATAGAAATTAATAAAATAGCGACAAATTTAACTGGTTTTTTAAATGATTCAACTTGAATTTGTTTTTTTTGACTGATCTGATTTTCCCTGCAGGCAAAGGCTCATCGCAAACAGACATCAAGAAAATTTTCAACAGAAAAAGCACAAATAAAAACAAAGAAGGCAGCGAAAGCTGATTCACAATCTGCACATTTTCTTTCTTGAATTCTGCAGCCACTATTGCAGCCAAATTCATTACAGTTGTTTAAAGTCAAAACTGAAGTAAATTTAATCAATGTTGTTGCAAGCCAAATTTGAAATTTATTGTATTGACAGTTGTTGTACTGCTGTCATATAGAAGGCTTGAGGTCTTTGGAGAAAGATTTGATTTCGCTTCACCCTAATTTCGATCTTCTTCAGGAAACAGGCTTTTGGAAAGCTAAAATAAACTTTTTCACGGAGATAATTTTCGTGGAATGATTCCTACCTCAACCTTGACTTGCTACAAATCTTCGTTCTGAGGCAGATGAACACTTTTCATTCTGGCACCCTTTAATTGCTGCTCCTCCACAACAGGCGTTCGGAAATGAATCCCATGAACGAAACTCAGAAATCAGAACGAAAACTTTTAGCAAGACTTTAAAATCTTTACATCTTTTACATCTTTAGAACTTTGATTATTTGTATATTAATGTATATATGCACTATTTGAGGTAAAGATTTTCGAGAATTGTGTGGTTTTTGTCAAAGCCCCTTTACGTCATTGTATAACCACAGAATTAAGAAAATAAATCAGCATTCTAATTAAAGAATGAAGTTTTGTGCCTTTATATTTTCTAGATGGTTCTTTGATTTTCAATCGTGTGTTTAGCGGAGTCCTACATCCTAGGGTGCTCTCTAGGTGGTTATGCATTGGGTTTTATGGTAGAATACCGTTTGGTTTAGTTAATAGTGCTCATTTTTGTCTTATAGTTCAACAGACTTGATTGAAATCGATAAGTTTTATTTTTGTTGTACCTTTTAAGAGAAGGAAACTCTTTCAACCACTCACATTTTAAGAGGAATGGCTCAAAATTTTGATATGCAGTGCAGAATGAAATGAATGATGCTAGGGAATTTTCAAAAAGCGAAATGCATCGAGTTAGGCACCAGAAAAGTCTTGTCCGATTGGCACTTCATGCGATTGACAGGCATTCGCCTAATATCATTGTGAAATTCTCACATTTGTAGAATTGCTTTCATTTTTGCCTCCACCATATGAAAGCTTTTTCTTTCAAGGCGGGTTTCTCTTTCTTGAAGGGACAATGAACCATAGTATCAAAATTTTATCTTGACTTATATCTGCACAACATATATTGTTTGCCATACATGCTGTCAAAAGAGAACACAGTCCTTCAATTATTCTTTCCATATTGTACTGATTATGAAGCAGATTCAGCTATGGATTTTTGGTAACATGAAGTACCCGTGTAGGGAAAAGTCTTGCTTTATCTGCAATGAATAGTTGCAATTTCGATATGGAACCTGCAGGCCGGAAAATGTTTTATTTTTCTTAATCCGTTCTGCACGTGTGCATTTGTTTTTCAAAGAAAAGTCCTTCGTTTTTGTTGGCCAAGGGTGGCTGTTTGGCTATGCCTATGAAGTAATATGCCTATGAAGAACATTCACAAACTGAAGTAAAAAGACACCAGAAAGTCTCTCCATAAACGGTTGTTATTTCTGTTTGTTCTTAAAAATAAATAAGAACATATAAATAAGTGTGAAATATATCGGTTAAGAACATATAAATCTGTTTGTTCTTATGAATAAGTGTGGAACAGTCATGTATCTGCAGCTTTTCATGTGGAAAAACTGTTTGTTAAAGTACCTTTAATGATGTTTCAATTAAAGAGAGGGGACTTATTATTTAATGGCATTTGTTTTATGTCAAAAGTTCTTTAACTCATTCATTAATAAGAGCTATGATTTTGGCTGTGATCTTTGCTTCAATGTTTTGTTACAAGGAAAACAAGTCATTCAAGGAATATATTAAATTTGTATTATCATAGTTAATAGAATAAAATTATATAAACTATGGTATTATTAAGGAACCTGTGTAAGTTTATAGATTTGACTTCATTTTTAGCGCCAATTAAAACCGGAAATGGTTGCCCTTTCAATCACATTCTGATATTGTCTAGTGATTGGGTATATCTGACAGGCACGTCAATCAAAAGCTCTCCCCAGCATTGATTTGTTAACTTCGACATTGATGGAATCAGAATTGACCAATCAAAATCGAGTAAGTCACTGGGTGGCAGGAATTTCCTTTGGCCATAGCGCGTGATTTTAAACAAGGCGAAGCCGTGATTCTTGAATACAAAATGGCTGCAGAAAATTGTGTTTGCTGTGAGGACGGAAAACAAAATTTCGACCTTAAAGTCCTCTTGATATCTTTTTGCTAAAAAATTGTACGAGATCGTTATTTGGAGTTCAAAATTTGATGCAATTTGTATTTATTGCACGAACCTAAGTAATTTTCAAGGGAAACATCGATATCTCATTTAGAGCGTATCTCGAAAAGCGGGAGTTTCAATTTTCAGCAACCATACTGCAGCCTGGATATCATGTTACAAGTTTTTCATGGAGATACTTCGATCATCTAAAATATATTCAAGTATTGTTATTGTTAGTTTCTGCAATTTGAGAAGAATTGACAAGAAAGAATGAACTAAACGACATCCGTAAGTATGAAATTGTATTTATTCAATTTGAGGTATGTTCCTTCGTGTTTGGCAACTCAAAATGGAATTTGGTTAGGCCATTGCCCAGAATTATCATTGAAGAGGATGCTTGCTTTGAAACGGCCCGCTGATCAATTTCTTATGTCGATCAAAGTACGAATCTCAGTGAAACTCGAAGAAATTTAAACTATAGCATTCTCGCCGGCCTATATTTGTTTCCACGTCGACAGACTGTTGTCATCAGTATGAAGGTACAATCAACGATCAATAGTAGGCTATTGAACTGCAAACAAAGTACTTATCGATGTACTTTATTTTTCTTTGGCATGCCAGCTAGTTCTAGGCCCATGAAAATTTTTTAGTTCAACTTATAATGTCAAATTGTGAACTTGACCATTAATACACAAGAGGCTCTATGTTTCACCAGTTAAATTTTCCTTGATATTTAGTAACAGTCATTCATTTGTATGTTTATTTTTTGACTTAGCTTTATATTCAGTAATAAAATGTACAAATTTAGCCTAAAAGCAAACTGTCTGACAATGTAAAAAATGCAGATACTTTTTTGTTAAGTTTGAGCTCAGTTTATAAGCCCCCAATTACATTACCCAGGGGTTCATTGTAGCTTTATGATAAGTTTTTCTAAATGCTGAAAATTCCAAAAAAAATTTAAAGGTTGTCCTGACATTCTTTGTAATGAGATACATTAGATTTAACATGTTTTAAAGAAATTGTATCCCAAATACAGCCAAAGGTACACCCAAATATAAAAAATTACTTAGTACGATTATTTTTCTAGTATAAACACAGAGTTCTGGCTGGGTATATGTAAAGATTTTTCATGTCTTTAATATTTACAAATATGAACCTTTGTTGACAATAAAAGATAAATAGACTAAAGCACAAGTTATGTTTGTATGGCCATGTGGAGAAACTTTGGTGTGCTGCCTACACCATCACCTGTGTGCCTAATTTTATTTATAAGATGAAACAAAACTTATTTGCACAAAATTTTTGAATTAAAATTAAGGTTAAGAACCATAATTTCAGTCTACATTCAATATTGGATTTATGATGAATTAACTGAAACATTTGCCGTAATTAAAGACTGAAGGTGAAAGTATGTGTTGCATGGAACAATCTTGTGGTCAAAGTTCTTTTATTTGTTAAATTTCCAGAGAATCTACAATACAAGCACAAAGAATATAAACAATGATATCCAGGCAAAGTTAAACCAGAGCAGAAAAAATACAACAAAGTTTGTAATAATTTCTAAAATGAATTGACATGTTAATATGCAAAATGTGAATTCACTGTTTTTCAAAGCTGCCAAAAGATAAGAACTTGATATATTAGCTGTTAAATTTCCAGCTATTTTGTTTGTAGAACAATAAGCAATTGTTTTCACCTTGGCAAACCTGAAAAACTGAGTCAGAATATCCTTAGCAGCTTTGACATTAGGATAACATTATAAAAATGTTGGGGCTTTCTGTTTATATTTATAAATAGCTCCATTAATAGAAGTTATGTCTTGGTATACCATTATGCAGTTTTTAATGAAAGTTAGTTGTATTTCCATTGTGCCATTCGCAATTCATTGCAATGCTTAAATATTGTTCTTCTTTACCTTTAGAATTCCTTCTTGCAAAACTCTGGACAGTATATATTTATTCAAGTTTGATATTTTAAATATGAATATTGATAGAAACCTATTTCCTATACAGGTTCCATCTGCAGGTAGTTATTTGTCAATTTATCCTTTTGCTTTGATGAATTTGGACAATAGAAACTTTAAATCACATATACGCAAAATATATTTCTGCATTTCTAGGCCATATTCAAGTTTTTCTCTCTCTTTACAGCTTCACTGATGACACAATGGGTGATGATTCAACCAAAATTGCCTGTAACGTGTCAAATGATGCAATTGCCTCAGCTCAGGGTATTACTTTCGATGGCCCACTAAATATCACATCCACAGAAGGTTTTGTTAACAATGCACCAAGTCAGTTCATTGTTATCCAAAGGCAACCAACCTCCACTGCAGGTTTATATCATGTCATTCTAACATCATTTTAAATTATGAAAATATTGCATTTTTTTCTTTATCTTTGCTTGTAATTTTTGGTTTTTTGTTATGTGTCCTTTCTTTGCTTGTTGCTATCAGTCTGTAGTATATCATAACAAATGTAATAGCTTTTGAATAGACAGTTTTGTGAAAGTTATCCAATTGTTTTATAAGTTATTTTAGCTTATTGAAAAAAGTGGATGGTGAAGTTTATGATTAAAATGTTAGTTTGAAAAGCTATTATATTATCACCAAATAATATTGTTATATCTTCATGTGGCAAGTTAAAATTAATTCCTTGGTGATTCCAGAGACATGACAAGGATATTTCTCAAGGGCACGTCCTTTAAAGTTTAGGATTAAATAACCATCTAGAAGAAAACCTTTCTAGTAAAATGAAATTAATAAACAGTCATGTGCTTGGAATTTTATATACCCAGTAGTGGATCAAATAGGCCAATAAAAACACAAGCACATGACAGTTGATTTTGCCCAATCAGTGCTGCTTGCCTATTGAAAACCTTTTTACCAGTTGAGTCTTAGGATAAAAAAACTCCTTTGGTCTACACAATAGCATTCATATTCTTCTTTTTACCTAAATCTGATGTGAATTTGCAGTTGCATAAAGCCTTATTAAATTATCCTTTGTGCAGATCCTCAGATGGCTCAAACAACAGTTGCTAGGCTACCAGTCCAGTGTAAAGCTACCGTTGTTACTTCATTATCATCTACAGCGTCAACGCAAGAAGCAGTAAAAAGTCAAAGTCTTTCCCTCACACAACAGCCTGGTGTTCGAAAAATTGTTTCTACCAACAGATCTATTTTAACTTTTAATCGGCAGAATTTGATCCCTGTTCAAGTTTCCCAAGGACATGCATACATACTCAACTCAGTGCCACAAACGGCTACTGCAAAGCCTCAAATACTTCCCAAGGGTTCCTCGCCTGAGAAACTCTCTTCGCAACCAGGCCCGGCACAAGTATATCTCCCATTGTCTTTTGCTTCAACAAACCAAACAATTACAGTACGACCAATTGCACCAAGAGGTGCAGTTAATGTTACAAGAGCCAATGAAATTGACAAAAAAAAGCAACCACAGGTAATACCGATTTCAGATTTACATTTAACCTTGGTTAATTTCAAGGCTTTATCATCAACTTTAATGTTGAATGTTTTTGTTAAATGTTGTCAAATGTTGTTAAATGTTAAATGAGTCAAAACTTTATACTTGGGTAAGTCCGGGAAACGCTCTGGCGATTAAAGAAGAAAATTCTAAGCTAAAGAGTTCCAAAAAAGTGTTCAGAGGTTTTTTCACTTTTCAAAAGGCTATGCTGTTTTATGGTTTCTCAAGTTGTTTGCAAAATTACATGGCAGTTGCCATGTTGTTAAATGTTAAGTGAGTCAAAAATGTTTCCTTGGGAAAGTCTTGGAAATGCTGCAACCATTGAGAACAGTTTAGGAGAAAATTCTATGCTGAAGAGTTTCAAAAAATTGTTCTGAAGTTTTTTACTTTTGAAAAGGCTGTGAAGGACAAGCATGGCTAAGAGCCAGACAATAGGTGCTGTTTTAAGGTCTTTACAATTTTTTTGCAAAATTACGTGAGAGTTGCCATGCCAACAATGCCAGAAAGACAAGCCTATGGCACAGAGAGTTTTCATTGGTTCAATATTTATTGTTGTTGCTCATTGTCCTTAAACAACCAGTGATAGGCAACATTTGGTGATTTTTCACGAAAATCAATAAAAACCTGTAAAAGGAACTGTTCATTGCCAGCTTTATCAAAAATGAAAGAAGTGCGAATAAAAACTGTAAGTCAGGTTGTTATTTACAATATATTGGCAGTTATAAGCTCTCAAATAACGCCAAAAGTACAGATTTCACAAGTCTTCACTTCACGAGAGCTTATAAAAGTTTTTTCCACTCTTTGAATCACAGAATTGTTTCTTTAATTTTGTTTTGAGAAGGATTGAAAATTTTCTAAATATCAAAATAAGGCCTGCTTTTTTAGTAACTTCCAGTTTGCAATTTCTGAAGTGCAAAATTCAAGGTTGTTTTCTCCTATTTTTGAAAGATTACTGAGCAAGTTAGGTGTAGTCACATAATAGCTGTAAGAAACCAAAAAAGTTTTTCGAGAGTTTTTCATTAAAAAGAACCGAGCAGTGGACGAGCAAAAAGAATTAATGTTTTAGAAGAGACAAGTTGTCTGTTCCTCTTCACTTTATTTACGCTTTGGGACGCCAAGGGACATGAAACTCAATGTTAAGCAAGGTTTTGCAGCTCAAAATTCTTCCTTACAAATTATAATGAGTGTTCCACACAAATGCAAAATAAAAAGTTACCTGTAAATGGAAAACACTTTTACCAATTTATTGCCAAACAAGAAGGATTAAAGTTTTACCGTAACTAGCTTCTAGTTTAAATTGTAACATCATTGAAAATGTCTCGCTTTGTATAAAAAACCATGATTCAAATGGCTCATTGATCGAAAGTGCTCTTCAGATCTGACACGAAATTCTGAAATAATACCTTGCTCAATTATATGCAACCAATTCAAGAATGCTGAAAGCGGTTTCGAAATTTCGCTATTACCAGACACAACATCGAACTTTAAAACTGTTAAAAGAGGTTCGCTATTGTAAATTTTCCAACAAATGCTCAAATTAGATTGACGTATAGATTGTTGGTCGCTATACTTTCCATCCATTCCTATTCACCACTTAGCTTTCGATTATTCACGCGTCTTTTCCTCTTCTTCGATGTGGTCAATACTTTTCATACGGTATTGTATGTTTATTTGAAAAAGCCTTAAGGCCGACTTCCACTTGAGCGAAATTTTCAACGAATTCGTCAGCAATTGGAATGTCTTTGTTCTTTCCAGGCACAGGCGAATTCACTAGCAAAATATGAAAGTTGAAAGGAGTTCAGCTTCCCAGCAAATTTGCCAATCAGCGAACAAACGAACACGCTCGGTGAATTCGTTGACAAATTTGCTGAAGAATTCGCTCAAGTGGAAACCGGCCTTTACTTTTTTGTCCTTGAGTCTCTGAGTGACGTGAAGGATACATAAATCAAATTTTAGCGAGAATAAACCTGATATTTTTGTATTCTCTTCCTTCTTAATGTATCAATTTGCACTTACATTATGTTGTTTTTCTTCCATCATTGCACTATAAACACCATATTGTCAAGTCATATTGGCGATTCCTTTGCTCACAGACATGTCGCTTGAATTTTAGCTTGTTCCAAAAATCGTCTCAACTCAACCACGGCAGATTCTACTTCCTAGTGGCTCCATAGGCCAGGCTGGGACTGTGACATTTTCAGGCCAAAACAGTATAAACACGTCAAACATTCAGTCTTTGTCAAACAACGTCCTGCGTATGCCGTCTGGTGAGTTAATGCAGGCTGTTATCACTCCCGTCGTAAGTATTGCGTTTGCGTTTGCATTTACCTTGTATGTTGCGTTTTGCGTTTCATGTTACCTTACACTGCCTTCATGATACAGGGACTTCAATAGGTCAGATTTCTGTTGCGCAGAGCTGTTTACACACGGCAGTAGGAAGTTGGTTGTGCGTATCTGCATAGAGGATAGACGCGTTTTTTATAGCTTTGGCAAATGAATTTGGACAAGTTTGTAGAAAATACCTAATTCTAAAGCACAAGACGCGCTTGAGATTCCATCAATAACGGAAGAAGGCACAACGTCATTTGGTCCCCACCATTATTCACACGTGACGTTAACTAAAGTCATTCACATGCAAGATTGATAGCAATAAGAGGTTTAGTACAATGTCTGGTGATCACTTTTGTTTGAAACCCAGAGTAGCAGCTTAAGGAATTCAAAATTTATATTTTATTATTTCATATATAATTTGTAAAATCGACTTTGATAATGATATGGAAGCCCATCTCCGAAAGACCCAGCTCTGTGTACTTAGGCCAAGAAAATAAAATGCATAAAGATTTAAGACGCAAAGTCACACAACATTGGAGCTACCAACAAATTTATCTTTATAAAGTAGGTTTTTGGACACATGGCTGATCAAAGAAAGTCATTGGGGAGGGAAATTCATAAAAAATGGGTTTTTCCTTACTTACTTAGATTGATTTATCGTAGCTTCCAGAATTTTTATAGCCTACAAAGAGACCAAAGACTTTTCCAGCTCCAGAATTTTACCTGTCTTTGTGCACGCATTCTTCATATATGGCCTGCACTGCTTCCCCAAGAGCTAAAAAAGTTCTCTTTCTTTATATCGAGCATCTTCATCCTCAGTCCTTGGTTGGGACTTTTTTTCTTGTCCATTGACTTCTGCCGTCTGCATCCACCTCTCGATCCCCTGCCAACTGTATGTCGTCTCACACATTCTTAAAATAATATTTGTTTTACGTGTTTATTTGGCCTTCTTTGGCCAAGGTCCATTGCTATGCCTTTCGGGAAGAAGATAGGCGATTCTATTCCTTATCCACGTGTTCCGTCATAAACAAATCACTGCGATATTTACTGTGTGGTTGCCATCAGTTCTTGAAAATGGACACAGCACAGTTCAGCTGTGAATCCAAAAAAAACAGCTATACACAAAACGGAGTGGAAATCGCGATGTTACATTATGGAGGAAAGGGTGGGGGAATTTAGAGCAAGGTGATAGACCTTTCATTGTCAAAATGCAAGCATGAAAGTTGTTAGATTTGCGCACTCAAAACGTTAGATTTGTCCCCAACACACCAGTAGTGATAAAATTGAAATGGATAGAAGTAAGTTTTTTCTGAGGCATCAATTCATTGACAAATGGACGTCATCATAGTATGTTAGAAGCAAGAACCCTGCCAACCAAAAAGCTAGTCAAGAGAGAGCATTTTCCACTTAAAGAAGGATTCGTTCATTATTAGAGCAGCAAAGCACGCTAAGGAATCAAAACTAGCAGTTTCAAAGCGATTGGTAGCTGGTTAAGCAACGTCATAAGATTTCGCATAGAAAGAGCAGGATATAAAGAAAGGATATAAAGTAAGGATATAAAGCAAGACTACTGGTAGCAGTGCTATTCTAATAGCAGTTTTCCAGGTCAAGAAAGAAGGAGATGGTTGCTTTGATCAAAGTATCGCAAATGGCATCCTCGAAACCGTTGTAGTGTTTGATCAGGTTCTTTTGCTGTTTCTGGTTCAGAGCTAGTGTGAGTATTTCAGCCATCAAGTGGCTAAAAAGTGCACCAAACTATCCTATACGTTCCTGGGTCAAATGAGCAGTCTTGAAAATGAATGAAAATGAAAAGGGTTGATAAAATGACGATATTTTTTATGATTTAGCAGCACGAGCTCTCCCTGAGAACAACATTAGTTGCGGTTCTGGACGTAACTAATGTTTTTCATGACGTAGTTCACGAGAAGAGGGAATTCTTGATTTTAAGTGGTCTATTTTGATTGGAGAAACAGCATGCCTTTTAGTTGCCTGTGTCTAAAGGTGTAGATAGTTATGCTTTGTACTTTTAATTTCACGTCAAACCAAGGAAGGGATGGTCAAATACATTCAAACTTTCCCACGTGTAAGAACTTTATTATTAACTTAATCGGCTAGAATTTAGAATGTCGACAGTGAAGTAAGAGCATATCCAGGCTGCCTAAGAACAACTAAGGCTCTTTTGCAGTAAAATCCTGCGATAAAGAACATAAAAAATGACAAACAGCAGAATTTCCCAAGAATTTACTCTTTAGTTAAGAATCAACTAAAGGGCGATTTTTGGTTTTTCTTCTTAGAAAGAAGGAAAATGTAAACTAAAAACACGCTTATCAGCTTTCAACGTTTTATATCACAAACTTTTGTGAAATCAAGAAATTTATTCCCTCATTCATTGAGCTGTAGTGATGTTAACATCTGTGCATGCTATTTCATACAGTGAGTTCAAATAATTTCCTGAACAGGTTGGTATTTCCTAGCCTGCTGTTCCAGTAACATCATTGAATTGAATCGTTCTAAACACTGGCTACCTAGTGTTTAACACTATTCAATTCAATGCTGTTACCAAATCAGTAGGGGATGTATTTAGGGTGGGTGTTCACATGAAGCTCGGGGTTGCGATTTTTGTATACAATATTTTCTACACTCCTGAGAACTGTCCATGTCTCCTCACCACAGAATAGCAAGCGACATGTTAAGGAAGCATTCACCAAATATGTACTACAAGTACCCAGTAAGCCCCTGGATACTTGTTTAGAAGTAGCCAACAATATTACCAGTGTAAATATTCTATATGAGGATGTTGCTGTCAATGGCATAACCTCAGCTCATTCGAGGGTGAGGGCGTATTCACAAAAATTACTTTAGGGTGAGGCTAGTTTGAGGGCAGCTTTTTTCGAAGGTAGAGGCTTATGCAAAAAATTACTTTAGGGCGGGGCTTATTAAAGGGGGCCTAATTGGAAGCTGGGGGCTTAAGCGAGGACTTACGGTATTTTGTAAACCAAAATAGGCTGTTTTTGTTAAAAATTATGCATTTTTCTTGCCGTTGCATTTTTCGATATTTGCCTTTTTACCAATTATCGACAGTAGATAATTTCAACACCTAATTGCGTAAACATTTTTTTGAAATGCTGATTCTCAGATTGCGTTTACGTTAACTGTTCGGTTGCTTGTCATTTGTTTAATGTGGACAAAGTCGATAGACATAGTCATAATGTGTAGGTACTCCCTCTCGTAAATTGTAATTTTTCGGTTGCGCTAGCTCAGCTATTTTGTATGATTCGATTTTAATCTGTCAGTGAAAATTCTTTTTGCATGTTGGGAAATTTCCAATCAGCAAATGTGAATGTTCTAAAATAAGTTATGCACTGATAAGAAATTGAGAAAGTTCTTTTTATCTTAGCAATATCGTGGTGCCTTGCCGCCTGGAGCTCTTATCGTTGGATCTAACACGAAGAACTCTCAAGAAGGAGAGGATCCTCTTAACAGGTGAGCTGCCATTTATCATGTTTTATTTTGGTTTTTTCGGTACGGGTCAACCGTGGTTCTAGCTGCAAGCTTTTGAGTATGAACGAAAGGATTTTGCAATAAATATCATAGCAAAAAGGCAGCATATTTTGCAGGGCCCTTGAGCTCGATGCGATAATTTGAGAATATTCTACTGCCAGTAAATTTTACTTGGTGATTTGTTTGCTGTTTCCTTCGAATGAAAAGTGTATGTCCGCCAGCAATTTGCAAATTTTGAGCGATTATACAGAGCTTTGTTTAAATTCGCTTGGTCTAACAACCCTAAGTATTCACAGATCAGCCACATTCCCTTCAAAAAACGGTTCTAAATGAGTGGTTTTATTTTCGAAAAACTTTCTCAAACAGCTACCTATGCATCTTTTAGAACTTGACGCGTATCATGTTGTATATATATAGTTTGACAGGGCTACTTTTATTGTAAGATGCATCATGTTTCACAATTTCTTTCCACAACCTTCGCTGTACAGAGACTTCCGAAGTATTAAAGCTTTAGACGATTATAGAAACTGTGTCTTTTAATATGAGACCACGCGAGAGACACGAGTACGTTGTTGTGTGGACACAAACGTATCTTGCAAATAACAGCTGTCCAATCACCAATGAACGAAGGAACTATTTGTTGTCTCTTTTTTAAGTTTAATCATGAATATTTATAAAGTAGGGGAGTATTTTCGTCCGTTTGGAACTGAGTTCCATATTTGGCTTCATCTGTATGCCACGGTATTAAACCCATACATTTTGTGATGCGGTTCCGCTGTTTTAAATTTGGAATTCCTCAAGTTACATGGGCATATGGAAAATATTTCATCCATAAAAGGTGGATTCAAACATCTTGTTTCCGCTTCCCCAGTGGCACAAATTTCATTTACAGCCATTTCCCTTCTCACGTGGAATACTTTCCTTGATTTTGACTTTCGAGTTCGCCGCTGTCTTAGTTATCTAGAGCCTAACTGGTTTATATAATTTACAACCCTAATGCAAGTTAATCAACTGTCGCAGACCCCTTAAACGACTGTCTGGCAGGAAATTTTGAAAACACTTTAAATCGATCTTGTTCGAATTTCTTCGGGTTAGGTTATTTTTGGAGATTAAGTTTGTAAGATAACATAGGCTGGTTTTTAAAATGCTGGTTCAAGCAGATATATTGCATTGCCGGCTAATACTACCAGTTAACAAAATACCAAAACAATTGTTAGCCGGACACTTTTATAGTGCTTTTGGCCGGACACTTTTTTAGCGCTTGCAGGTAAACACAGATGTTGCAATCTATACTTTTGCTGAAAAATGTTTTATTCATAAAAATGCGGTGATAAACTTCGGTTTTTGTGCTTCACAGTTTTTTCGTGAATTTTTCTCTACTTACTTGAGTAATTTTTTTTATCATACTCAGCTTTCCCTTACGTCTACCGTCGATACGATCATACAATATAAATATACAAGACAATCATAATGATCTCTCTAGCCTCCATTTTTTGGTACTGGTTTACCAATCATCGTTGACCTTTTTTGCTAAATAACAAAGTTACATTTATTCATATTATCAGGATAAAAGAATAGAACAAAAATAGTCATGCTAAACCCCTCGATTTCGTTAGATTGTCGAATTAGAGCTTGTTTTTGTCATTAAAAAGACATTAAAAACTATTAAAAAGAAACGGATCCATCACAGAACCTTGCTGTACACCTGTCTTATGCTACCCAGAATGCTAAGTATCTTGTTAGCGACAGCCCCATGTTTCCTATTTGAGATAATCAGAGTAACCTAAAAACTTTTGCTAAATCCATAGGTATTAAATTTTGCGAGTATTTTATGATTCAAACAGACAGAATCCGGTAAAATGTTAGCCTGATAATCCGCCCAAAAGACTAAGAATAATTTTCCTTTATAACAATGGGCTATTCAGCAGGCCGACAAAATGTCTTCATCCATGATTTTTTTTTCAGACACAGTCTTCTGTATGTCTTAAAGCCCATACTTAGTGTAATGAACTCTTAGGAAGCTATAAAGCCGGCTCTAAATTGCAATCACTGTGATGCTAATTTCGTAAAATCGAACGCATTTGGTCGCTGTTGCCTGTCATATGTGCTCAGTGGGATAGAAATACTGTAAGATTCTTCAAACCTAAGCCTTAATGTAGATGTTTAAAGTCTGTATGATTTTATATTCACTTTGTATATGCTATAAGGCGATCGGCCCCAAAGGCGGAAGTTTTAGGGTTGCAAACTAACGCCTTTCTCTCGAATTCGACATGACCCGGTAAATTTACCTCAAAAATTGGATATTTTGGCATAGGGATTTAATTAGAACATGCTGCTGACAAAAAACTCGGAATTTTTGCTATGCTTGTGCCATCATTCACAAAGCCCGATTCCCGCCTCTGCTTTGGCCTTGAATTCGTCCTCAGTTTGCGCCGTGCCAGGAAAATATGTTGTACACTAGCCATCTAAGTGTTCTTTTCTGATTGTAGTGACGAGGTCAGGGTTGAAACGAAGCCCGTGAAGAAACCTTGCAATTGCACGAAGTCCCAGTGCTTGAAACTGTAAGTTGTATCACAAATTTTGTGTTTACATCGTTTTCTAAAACATCGCCTTAAGCCTTTTTGTTTATTTTTCGACAATTCCTTCGTTCCTATGCTTGCTTACTCAAGTTTGTTACCGAATTGATTTGTGGAAATTACATTTGCCTTTACGTTTGACGTTTACCTAGTTGCTTGTTTACTGAAAAAGCCTCACCCTAATTGCAATGTGGTTATAAAATGTCCTGTTTTTCCTCTCTTATCGACCACTCCCGTTACATTTTCTTTTAGGTACTGCGATTGCTTTGCGAATGGCGAGTTCTGTAGTAATTGCAACTGTCAGAACTGTGAAAACAACATTGAGCACGAAGTTGAAAGAAGCAAGGCAATCAAGGTTAGATTTAAGACGCAGTTTATTTCCAAGGCCATTCATCACTTGCTTATAAGCTTTGCAGGTCATCTGCCTGCAGAAAAAATATTGCGGTTTTTGGCATTGCTTTGACATCTGATACCTGCAAGCTGTGCTCGGAACCAAATACAGGATTTATCAGAGGAAAAACCTATATGGCCCTTTTGAAAGCAAAATGTATTCCAACGTTGTCTTTTACGTTGTACTGTAGATAACCACGATGTTGCATGAAAAATTACTTAAAATGATTCCCCAACCTCGATACGAACGTTATAAAATCTTGCTGCTTAGAAGCTTTTTCTATGTTTGAAGGAACTTCATATTTACAATCTCTCCTCTTAGAAAGAAAATTCTTTTTCCAAGCCATGGATAGCAATGCTTTCTAGCCTTGTTTTAGAATTTAGAAAAATGCACATGTTCTAGCCTTGTTTTAGAAAAATACACATGAAAAGTTACAACGGAAGTAATATTTAAGGTGCTCGAAAAAAACAGAGAATTTAAGAACTGGCTGCGACGGGAGCTATCTCGCTAAAAGTTGTCAACTCCTTGTCTGTTTCTCTTGACACTGTGATGCTATTTTATCTAATCCTCTTCTGAGCACATTCCTACTGATATTTAATAAGTTGGAAATGAGTTTTATGCTCTTCATTAAGGGATAAAACACCACGCAAGCAGAATAATTGGCTAGTCTTACAAGCTTCCTTTACTAATTGGATCAATTAGTGTTTTGAACAGTTCTAAATCTTCGCTTTTTTGTGCTGCTTTTCTGTCCTTTAGTGTCAATTTTCGCGTCTTACTTTGACACTATACGCCCACTCCTTTGGCTACCTGCAGTGAACCAATAGACTTGATTTGTATCACTATTATCATCGTGATCAGCAATCATATCCTGATTGTGGACATTATCATGATCGTTAATCGTGATCATCAATCATCTTCATGATTGTAAGCATTATCACGATCGTTAATCATGATCAGCAATCATCGTGATCATCAATCATCTTCATGATTGTGAACATTATCATAATCATAAATCGTGATCATCAATCATCTTCATGATTGTAAACATTATCATGATCGTTAATCATGATCAGCAATCGTCGTGGTCATCAGTCATCATCAGTCACCATCGAGGATATGCAAGAAACAGTTATAATTGAATAACTGTTTAGTTTCCTAATTTTTTACGTTTTTTTCAGGCATGCTTGGAAAGAAACCCTCAAGCATTTCATCCAAAAATCGGAAAGACTCGTGTAAGTAATCTATTTCTGAACAGCCAGAGGGTATTAAAATGTTCAAATTACAGTCAACTCTGTATTATTCGAACTTTCTTTGGAATCGTTACAAATGACATATGTTCGGTTTTATGCTTTTAAAAAAATCCTGGGTTTTGCTTTCGTCATCTCCAAATCTCACTTTTACAGCCTTTATCAATTTAATCACGACTTGCACAGGGTTTTTTAGGAGATTTTCAAGGGACCTGCAAATTTTGTTCGAATTAGTAAAAGGTCGAATTACAAGAATGACTGTACTTGTAATTCCTCCCCGGCACCAACGCCTCTTGGTCTCTTTTGGCCTTGTAATAATCTATAGCTTATCTGTAGCTCTGTTGGCACAATAATAACCCATTTTTCGGCCAAGGTGTGTCATACCCGTCGAGGAGTTTTTTCACTGCATCAACGAATCACAGGTCGCCTAGGGTCAGGGAAAGCTCTCCAAGAATATGACATCTAGCAAAACATGATACCTCTCCTTTTTCTTTATGTCCGCCCACTTTTCTTATCAAAGAGGTGTTTAAGTTTAAGAAGTATTCATGAGATATAAATGTTTTGATTCTTTCTTGTAGGGTGTTTCAGAGCGGCGACATACGAAAGGTAATTCAACATTTATGGAAGTTTCTTTCTCGTCACCCGAATTTTCTTTTGGTAAAATATACAGCGTTATCAAAAATATCGTTTTGATTAATATATCCAAGAAGAAGATTTTGAATTTGTTATTTTGTTTGTCGAATTAAAATGATTCGATTCAATGCCATGTTCAATCCTTTGACGCACAATCTATCATGCAGTTGCTTTTTTCAGTAAAAATCTGAAATACATTCAAATCAGGGAGATTAATTCGAGTCAGGGATATTTACTGCAAGGAATAATAATCGTTAACTCCAGTTTTGGTATTTGGCGTTTTGAAGTAACATGAATAGACAAAGCAACATAAAAAGTTAGCACTATTGCAAATTGAACTGAACATGAGATGCTGAGAGCATTTCGAATAGCACAAACTATACTGTCATTTAAAGAACGATTATATCCAATATAATAATTGTATTGAAAATATTTTATGTTTAAATGTACAGTCGATTCTAAGGCATCATTTTTTCTGTCTTAAGGAGCGTTCATTCAAAATTAATCTCTTTCTTTTTTTATTGTTTCCTGAGTAAAAAAAGGCCAATCCTTCTTGTTTTTTAGGTTGTCATTGCAAGAGATCAGGGTGTCTTAAGAATTACTGCGAATGCTATGAGGTAAGCTTGTTTTATTTAGCCGCGTACTTTCGAAATTGGCTTGGAAAAAAGGTACATTCTCCTTTTTCTGGATAGGTTTTAGGCTGGATTAAGTTTAAGAGCGCTCCTTTTTGCAGCCCCACTCACTGTTAAACTGTAAAATCTTTACACGTTTTGTCTAACATTTCTAGGTCGACATAACGAATCATTGTAAGCCATGCAGATGTCCATGTGAAAAGAACTCATTTTTTTATGCATTAAAGATAAGTCCTGTGAAAGGATGGTGATAGCAGGACTGTTGATATTCTCTTAAATAATTCCTTCCCTTGAGAACCTAGACAAGTGAGGTGGTTTTTGATGAAAACTCGCACATTATATTTCACGTTGAGGTACTTCTAACTGCTTGTACGTTTCCATTTATTTTATTTCCCAATTTTCTCAGAACGTCCAGATTTAATGCATCGTTTAATGATGGCCAAGCTTATTTTTTTAGCCAGTCTACCGTACATGACTGGGATCTTCAATTCGCTTTAGAAGATCAAAAAACGCAGTATATCTTTTGCATGTCAGTTGAATTTTCTCGAATTCTCTTTTACTTCACCACATCTTCGAAAAGGGAAAAGTGTTTTATACTTTGTTGTTTCGAGTCACATATGCAAGTTAATGCAGTTCAATTGTGTATTGCGGTCTCGTCCCATTGAACGTCGTGTCAATTTTCTGAAAACAATCAGGACTGTATTTTTTCTTTGCTCCGGTGCATCTACAAGTATACGCTGGCCGGCGAGACCATTGTACTTTCGAAAGGGCCCTAATTGAAAGCTACTACGTACCAAGGAGGCTACAACTAAGGATGTCTAAAAGACTTAGCCAAAGTTTTGCGCACGTAGATAAATCATGCGACAGAATTGATACAATAGTGTTTTATTCATATATAGAGTTAAACCTTCTTTATAGATTTATTTCATACACTCATCCAACATATGGCTTAAGTTTGGCTTGACCCCTGATTCTCACCTCTGGTTTGACCTCTGGTTTATAGCATAAGCTTAGTTTAACCCTGATTTTTCACCCTGATTTGACCTCTGGTAAACAGGGTAAGCTTAGTTTGACCCCTGATTCTCACCTCTGGTTTGACCTCTGGTTTAAAGCGTCAACTTAGTTTGACCTCTGATTTTCATTTTCTCCAGGCAAAGATCATGTGTTCAACTCTTTGTAAGTGTACTGGCTGCAAGAATTTCGAAGAGAGTCCCGAGAGGAAAACATTAATGCACCTGGCCGATGCTGCTGGTCAGTTTTTCATGCGTTTTGTACTGTTTTATATTTATATTAATCAGAGAGCCACTATTATCTTCTGAACAAAGAAGTTTTAATGCAATTTGCTTTGGAATTTGTTTCTAAAGTTGGGTATTTTATTCCTCTCATATCGCAATGCTCTCTCATTGGTAACTAGCAATAAAACATGAAAATTGGATTTATTTTAACAGTTTTTTAGTATGACATCAGAAAATGTATATTTTTGGAATTTTTTCATTTGACCAGCATGAAATACCTCTGAAAATGCAATATAAGTCAAAGCAGTTGCAAATCAACGGTGAAGGCAAGTGAAAGAGCTGAGTTTTTCCAGTGGATTGCTTTGTTTTGGCCAGGCACATAGATTTAGGTGCCAAGATCAAATTAGGCCCCGTTCAATCGAGAAATCTTTTCGCAGAAACGGAACATTTACATACCGCTTTTTGTGTTCGAAGTTAAGCAGATTTTAACAATGCCCTTGTTCGTATTTCCAGGGAAACTAATGTTAAAAATGCAAGCAGTAAGCCACATTAAATCGTTCCGTTTTCCGGACCAGTTCAGCCTTTTTCATGGGAAGGAAACGAAACGATCGCATACTTTTCGTTTCACTTTTGAGATCGTTCCATTGTCCGTTGGATCTCTTTGAACAGGCCCTTTATACGTCCGTTTTATGTCCTAGGAAAATGATTTACCACAGTATTCTAAGATGTGTTCTTTGGGGTCTGATGATAATTGCCATAAAGTTATAACAGCCAGATTAATCTCCGTATTGGTCAAATCAATCGATTAAAAACATCGTTTAACCAAAATAAAATCCAGAAATCTACCAAGTTATCGCTTTCATTCTGTATTCATTCTGTATTCATTCGAGTCTTTCGTCACATGAATATCTCGAAGCAAACTTTCAACTTCTCTAGCCCGGCAGATAAAGATTTAAGAATAGACAGTCAAGGTCTTCTGTTGTACCGTCCATTGTTCTACTTTCGACTATCATTTTAAGAGTTCCAAAATCGCCATATTCACCATATGTCGCCATATTCTTTTAATGAAATTATTTTCCCTGGAGAATTTATTGACTGTCAGGCGATCAAAGTTTCCTTCGAAAGCTTCTTTTGATATCAGCTTATTTCTTGTAGTTGATTGTTTTGTATCAGATCCGATGTCACAGGGCTTTTCTTTGATCATATATCTTAAAGTTCCTTGAAATTTGAATGCTTCGTGCTTTTGAAATTTTTCCAATCAGGCTTTTTTTCTGTTTGACGCAAATGACAAAATGGCATATTTGTGGAGGGGCTTAATGGTTGAGAGGCTTAGTGATAGAGAGGCTCGTAAAGTCAATACATATGAGACGGGATTTTTTGTCTGGGTATTTCCTGGGTTTTGTACATAGACTACACTTTTTGGAGATAAAACATCGCTTAAAATTACATTTTACAATAGCTCGGCCTCAGCTTGTTCTTAATTTGTTCTAAACTTTTGACTAATTTTGAGGCTCGTGTTCTTATAAAATTGTTCTATAAAAAAGGTTATAAACCATTTCTAACTTGGGTTTGGTGCACGGCCTAAATTGATTTTTTCAGTCCTGGATGAATGCAAGGATTTTAAACGTTTATTTGCTGCATTTAAATCGATGTCTGGTTCATCACAGATTCGGCCTTGCTCAAACTGAATTTGTCTTGCTTTTATGCAACTTCTCTCGGGCCTTTAAAGGTTAGACAAATCATGTGACATTAACATCGCGACAACGCTCTCTAATGCGCCACTTGAAGCCAAGACTTTCTGTTTTATTTTGCAGAAGTGAGAGTTTTACAACAGAACGCAGCGAGGTCAAAGCTAGAATCACAACTCGAATCAGCGACAACTAAACCGTTATCTACAAACACCGAAAGGTTTATTATCATTTTATACTTTACAGTGTCTTTCTGCTCAGTGTTGAACTAAACAAAGACTAAAAAAAGAGAGTAGTTCTCCCTGATTAGCCCATTAAGTGTCAAACTTGGAGTAGCAACTTCGAATAGTTCGGTTCTATACAACAGAAGTGTAATTAGAGAATAGAGGTGCTTGCTGAAACTTTCAACAAACTTACCCTTTGTGGTTACTTTGCTTTATATAATGAACAACAAATGAACTTTTTTTAAAATTAGGCTTGCAAAGGTTTATAGCTGTAAGCTTATTATTGCCCACATGCTAAAGAACATAGATTTAAAATGAAAATAAATACAGTTCTTAAGCATTTCCTACTTTTAGTACATTATTGAGAATTCGGTCTAGAGAAGGGTACATGCTTTTGTTACATGTTATACGTGTCTCTCATGTGTTTGATAATGGACAACATCTTATTGTATTACATTTTCTGCCTTATTTTACCCTGCCCTCTGCACTTTCACTTGTGACCCACAAACACCTTATGATCCTCTGACCGTCAACCTTTGACCCCCATTGCTGCTTTTTTATTTATTCTGGTCCGCTATCCAAATAAGACTCTTTCTTTTAGTACCCATTAATATTCTTCTTAGGCGGCTTCCGTTCACATTCATAACAACCTCGGTTGCAAATGCGACGTGCGAATGCCTCTTAGAATGTGCAGAAAAGGCAGAAACGGTATGTATCTTATTTAACGTCTTTTACCTTACCTACACAATATATTTCATGTTTGTTTTCTATTCACGATTTTGTATGCACCCCAAATCATGTAGCATCGTGCTTTACATAGTTTATAGTTATTGTAACGAATAGCTTGTTTTAAACGTCGTAGCTTTTGGAGCAGATGCATCAGCTTAATCTCCTTTCCATTATTTGCAAAGGGTGGGCGGCACTGTGAGAATTGCCATCATCCTATTTATGTGTCCTTGGATAATATAGGTCTACAATAGAAACATTAATCAACGACCCAAAGTTGCTAGTCAACTTGCTTACCAACATAAACGCGATGGTTGCTTGTTGCTAGTATTTATCATTAATAATAGTATTATATTGGTAATTTGTCCTTATTCTCAAAATTTGCATATTTTGGCAAGATATTTCAGTTAAAATAATCTTAACTAGATCTCTATACAAGGCTTATGCTATCGTCAAGTGTTTTAAGATCTTATTTTTTGTACTGCATAGTTTCAAATTAGCCTTTTTGGTGAGATTTTTTTCAGTTATTTTTTACTCAAGGTTTTTTGTATCTCTCTCTCCGATTATTAGCTACGCAAAATTTCCTTTGAATAAATTTATGTTGTTTGATTCAGATTGTCCGGGCACTCAATCTACTGAATCAGTAGAGGTCAAAAGAAATTATAAATATAAAGTCGCACGATTTTGTTCTTCCCTTTTAACTGAACGCGTTTATTTCTTACAGTACTCTAAAAATTTAACAGCTTTCCACCTACAGAATTTGACCGATTTCTTTTTGTTTCAATTTCCCTTTACTGTGGTTTTCCCCCAAAATATTTGTTTTATTTTGGCTCAGTTTTTAATAAACTTGTTTTATCTCAACCTTAGTTTTGTTTTGAAACTAATTAAGGTTTTATGTTAGTAAATTTAATGTTTGGTCTTGTTTAATGTTTGTTTGTTTAATGATCTGGTAATACGTAATACACAACTGGCAATAATCTAGATTTTTCAGTCACAGAGTTATTAACTTGTGAATTTGTGAATTAAAAGTTGCAAAATCGGATCTCCTCTAATTGAATTCCTGTCTAAAGAATGTGCGTTTCTGTCAGTTGCAAGAGTTCTCAGCACAACTGTTGTTGTCGGGTTGCCACGCGGTTTTTGTCAATAGAAATACGAATTACATCGGAGATCTGTACTGTTTATTCATTTGATTTTGAAGCTGAATAACTTGTCTTGGCTTAGTATCCCTACACATCTATTTTCATATGTCCCATTTTTGCCAGCAACAAAACCTTGTACACTTATCCTTCTCGGAACGCAGCTAAAATGAATCAAAGAATTTAAGATAAAAATTTTCATTGTTGTTGTGGTTGATGGTGCTTTGATGTTGTTGTTGTCGTCGTTTTGCTGCTGTTTTTGTTTATGGGAACAAGAAGGACCCAGAAAATTTATCAATGTCATAAATTTGTTTGCTCTTTTATCTGGGTAAAGGACTTTACCCCAGAATAAAATATATGAAATTTTCATTTTCTATTTACCTGTGTAAAAATTCAGTGAAATTCTACATATTGAAACTGACCGATTTTTGAGCCTATTTTTCATTTCTAAAAGTAATAGCCTTTACAGGCATACATAGAGTTCTAAATTGTGACGTCATCAAAACCCTATTTTTAGAATTTATGAATTCTAAGCACATAACATGAAATATCACCACGAATTACTTTCAAATATGCGAAATTGGCCAATTATGTCCAAAATCGGTTGAGATATGGCCAATGAAAGGACTGTGGTTTGCCAACGAATCACTGTTATTTTCGCTCTGTTCATGAAGTTATGAACAGAGACCAAAATACAGAGGTTTGATAGGGGAAAAGCCACTACACATGTGGCCATATCTCTGCCAATTCGTAACATAATCGACTGATTTTGCACACTTAGAGGTATTTCGTGATGCTCTTTCAGATTGTGAGGTCCAAATTTAAAAAAAATTTGTGACGTCATCACTTCAGAACTCTTTTCCGTTTTCTCAACCCTGTTAATTCAGACGAGATCTCTTTTCCGAATGAGTAAGAATCCATTGTATTCCGTATCCAAGTCTATAAGTATTTCTTTAATTTTTCTTCATGTATTCTTGTATTCATATGAAGTTGCTCCGTTACATAGGTCCAAATATCTGGAATTGAAACGACTTTTAAATCCTGACCGGGCATCTAATGTCAAACAGAATCTAGCATTGTAGCCATTAGTTTCATAGTACTTAAACGTTGCCTGTTGGCCATGGGGTAGTCATTATCTTTCGCTCTCATTGGTATCGTCCATGTGGTGTAGTACAGTAACTAGGATAAGTATAGTAGAAAGTAACGTGTTTTGTAATATTTTATATGCAAAGAAAAGAAAGATCCAGAATTCACTTCCAAACGGAATCAAATAATCTACAAATATTGATAAATTTATATTCTTATCAAAATTTGGTAAATTCTGTTAGCAATCTCTTAGCTGCTTCATGTTAGCGTTAATGAGTTGCATGGCTGTTGTCTACCTAACTCTAGATAAGGTTGGTGATTATGATGATGATGATGATAAAGACTCACAATCTCACAATATCTTTCAGCAACGCTGCTCTGAACAGAAAACGGAAAGAATGATTATCGAAGAATTTGAGAGGAGTCTTCTGCAAATCATACAATTGGCAAACAAATCAAAAGGTAATTTTTGGATTATGATCAGCTGCGAATTTCGTGACCTAAAAGTGGTATAGTATGATACCTTTGAGAATCTTTTGGGGAGCTCTTTACAGTGCGCTGTACGCGTGCTATTGGAATTTTGGCGCTTTAGATACAGGGATCTGGAAACGTATGTACAAAATGTAGGTGCCTGCTAAAGGCCGTTGTAACATTGATTCTCACAAAATTTGACGGTGGACCATATTTTTAAGAAAGCTTTCTTTGCGTCTTCTTTCAAGGTCCACGAAACTTAACTCCTTTTCTTCAAGCACAGCTATTTGAAGCGTTGATTTTCAAATAAAGCCTAGCCAATTTTTTGTTCTAAATTCTTCTCTTGGGCATTATAATGCTGCGTAGCTGTCGCTGAGCCAAATTATGGAAGATTTGTATATCCAAGAATGTGAGCCTCCTCTCTGTGCACAATCGCCTGTTACTTTAAGAACGTGATTAGAAAAAGAACGATCGGATTTTGGCCTGGTAATTTCTTCTATGTTCAGAATTTCATTATTGTCCAGAATTTTTGCAGCTTTGCATTCCCACATTTAGTCAGCTTAGTCATGCTTTCTCAGCTTCTCTGTCTTCCAAGGTTAGATTTTTCGCTGCATAACATTACAGCATCCCAGCTCATCTTAGTAAGCAGGATTAATTTTAAACTAACGAAGTAAATAACAGTCGATTAGTCCCATGTTTAGGAACTGAGGATTATCATTGATTGGAAGCAGATAAAAAATCGAATTTTTCTTCGAGTTGCCTAAAGGAACGAGAATTCATGAGATTATTTGCATTTATTCATTTATTTGATAATAGTTCTTGACCATATATCTATGAACTTTTTAAATAGCGAACAAAAAACTGATCTCGAAAATTAATGAAAAATGCTACTAATATGATTTATAAAAGAACGGCTTGACATTTGATTTATAATAGAATGGCTTGACATTTGATTTATAATAGAATGGCTTGACAATGGAAAAGGCAAACATTTTACAACATACTGGAACCTTTTTCGTCGGACTTTTCCTCAGAATTTAAAACGCAAAAATAAGGTTCTGAAAGAAAAAGATGGAAAATATAAACCCAGTTATTGATCGAAATTGGCCAATCAGAAAATTGCAAGCATGTGACCGGCCCGCCTTCTCCGCCCCGTGAACCTGATCCAAGACTAGACCGGCATAGTTGCCAATCAGTGCCAAGTGGCTATAGAAAAATTACTACTGGAGTTTGAGGAAAAAAGGAACTCCTTCTGTCTTTTTGTATATGTATCTACTGAAAATAAAATTTTAGACATTAAGGAAAATAGAAATGAGAATATTTTAATTTTAAAATGCGTTGGTTTGTAAACAATCCTTTGTTTACAGCGTAAGCAAACATGTGAATATACTGAAGCTTTTCGTCTGACACTCTTTAGAGTAACGTCAGAACATAGATCGAAAACTCTACGCCAGGAAATATTTATAGCCAGTTGTGGATCGAAATAGGTCAATCAGAAACGCGAGCATATGACTGTCGAGGTTGACCAATCAGTGCCGCTTGTCTATTGAAAATGTTACGAATGGAGTCCTAAGGTGAAAACGAACTCCTTTTGTCTACACAAAGGCGGTTTTTCATGTTTTTGTGATAGATTCCGAAACTGCTAGATGGAACGAAGATCGTGCTCTGCCAATAATCTGAAACATTTCGCCATAATAGTTTTTTTGCTCAACCTGTGTTTTCCAGTTAATCATGCCCGATAGCGGAATCACGTGTTTTGCTAGTTGTTTTCGATCTGCAAGACTACACCACTGGTGGTAGCCAAAGTTATCTTGATTTTAAAGAAGTCAATTTAGAGAAAAGGGTGTCTTGAGAAGAATGGAACTCTGGTTTATTTGCAATTATGATGTATAATTGATTTCACTGCTACGAAGCGCTCTGAGAATAAAATTTCTTCTTCGAGCTCTCCTTCTTCTGCGCATGTGCATATGACGCAATTTTCTCATTGGTTGGAAAAAATAGATTGAACAATAGCCCTAAGTAAAGACATTGATAAGAGAGAGTATACTAAAAACTTCATGCAAGATTAGTATAATTACATGCTAGATTCTTTTTTACTTTAGCTGAATTGGTCATTTATAAATTAATAACAAAGCAAACCGATTTCTATTCAGAAAATCCATTTATTATTGTGCATATTTAACTAGTTGTTCTTAGAAAATACTGCAATAGCATTGTATTAATTGTAAATAGGGTACACTTTAAAAAGAAGCAAAGCACATTTTAAGTCGCTGATCTCGGGCATTTTTTTCTCCCTTCCAGGTCAAGGTGTATAATGGAAACTGAGTGTATGCGATACTTTAATAGGTATGGCGTGATCTGTCACTTCAAACCGAAGCCTGACGCCATGGCATGAAAGCAGACCAGCTGTCCCAAGCGTACTAAACAAATGATGCTCTCTGCGAAAGGTACTTTTATTGGTCATTTCTGTTCAAATCTAATGCGATTGCCAGTCTTCCATCTACCATTCAATTGCCAGTCGTCGAGTTTTCTCCAACGGTATTTGGTGACATGATGAAAGAAACCCATGTTTTTTAGGAAGCAAAGCATGGCATTCCCCGATCTGCTAGCCCTGGTAGCGAAAGTTGCACGTGGAGTTTTCCATTGTTGCATTTGATTCCTTGATACCATTGCCATACCCTGAATAGCATTGTCATACCCTGGATACCATTGCCATACCCTGGATACCATTTTCATACCCAAGATACCATTTTCATTCCCAGGATTCCGTTGCCATACCTTGGATACCATTGCCATACCCTGAATACCATTACCATACTATGGAAACCATTTTCATACCCAGGATACCATTGCCATACCTTGGATACCATTTTTGTACCCTGGATACCATTTCCATACCCTGGATACCATGTTCATTCCCAGGATTCCATTGCCATACCTTGGATACCATTGCCATACCCCGGGATACCATTACCATACTATGGATTCCATTTTCCTACCCAGGATGCCATTGCCATACCTTGGATACCACTGTTGTACCTTTGATACCACTGTTGTACCTTTGATACCATTGCTGTACCCTGGATTCCATCGCTATCTAGATTCTGCTCTCTGGATGGGAGTATTTTTTATGCTATAGGGGATGCATTGCCCTTGGCAACTCTGGTTTCTTGATTTTTATGCAGATTTCATTCTTTAGAACAAGTACCTTTGTCATCCTTGTGTGTCTGAATGGCGGTCGCCTGCAAATAGATCATCGATATAAACTACATTTGAGCCATGCCCTAAAGCGTCGAGAAGATGCTGCTTGCCCTGGAATACATTTTTTCATCAAAAACGCGGATGTTTAAGACCATTTTATTCGCAACATGTAAAGCGTAGAGCAGAATGATACTTTTAAAGCAATTATCTCGACTATTTTCAGTTACATTCAGATCCGAGTCTTAGATAGTTAAATTCAGATCCGAGTCCTAGATAGCAGGAGAACAGTTACAAGCTCCCGTATCTTATGATCTAATTTCACTGCTTTTTACAAAGATTCATATGGCATTCAAACATCGATAAGATGCTGTTATGGAAATTGCGTATTCCAGTAATAAAACCTCTGGCAAGCTGGTTATCGTTTTAACAGCTTTTTCTTGGTGTCCACACTGGATCGTGCGTTTTAATCGCGACGGGTGTACCTTATGTTACTTTCACTATCGCGTGGTGACTGTTCCAAAAACACGACTGTGGATGTCACAGAACTGTGAAAACTGTGCCACGGAAAAATTATCAGGAAAGGACACCTGTCTCTTGGAATCTTACTAAGCTCGATGTCCTATTCTCTTTGGAGCACGATGTCACTTGCTTAAACAGCGCTTGAAATATGACGTTGTCGTTTTAAATTCTCATTTGAAAACGACAGTGATTCCTATCGGGTAATTTAAAGATTATAACCAAAAAAGTCGTTACCTTTTAATCTGCCGAGTCTTAACTGTGAAAAATATTATGCTTCCCTCATATATATCAATGGTCAATGTTCCTGATTTGAATTGAAGAAAAGAACACACCGACTTACTCACTTGCTCTCAATCAATCCCAGATCAAACATGACGTCAACAGCACGCGAGAGCGCGAATCTACTCATCCTTATGTTGTGATTAGAAATCTCTTATTTATTTGGCTTCGCCATATTGTGAAGATTTCAGATTATTCCCCAGTAATTTTGTCCATGTAACTTCTAAAGTTGTGCTGCAATGGTTCGAAATATTCTGGTTCAAAATATCCCTATGTATAAAATTTCGAATAATTTTTGCTAATTTATAGGACTCATATCCCATTAATTGGAAATCAAGCGAATTAATGTCAGACGTGTTCCTCCGCTCTAGGATGTTTTCATTTATCCTTCATCTTGATAAGCCGAGGGAAAGTCTCATCTTGTCCCACCGCAAGGTGTGCCCATTAGTCACACAAGCTGTTTTTATCCCAATGTTTCTAGACCAACTGTAAAATAACGCCTCTGTGATTTGTAAAAGTAATGCAAAACTTTGTAAATTTCCTGTAATAATAAGATGTTCTTTTACCGCGAAACTTATATTTGTAATCACTGACATCTCTTTAATATGTGTTTTCTCTCCTTGTTAATTTTAACTCGCTGCTTGATGTGGTTTTCTAAGAAATCTACGATCTATTTCCAATACCTTGGATCGACTTCCTTAAGTGCTTTATTTATCAACAGCTTGGGATAGTTTGTTCATTGTTCACGGCTCGTAAGCAGGGATGTAGTTGTGAAATTTTAACAAGGGGGGCTCTATGAAATTTCTAATTTGTTCTTGTCATGTAATCATTGAAGTTTGAATATGGTGAGGGTTGATGTTTTTCCGAACATTGTTTAAGCAGCCAGGTACATTGAGGCGGATGGGACCTTATAGCAAGTGGGGGGACCATGTAGCAAATGTTTATATTGCTCAAGGGTTCAGTGAAAGCCACTGTGATAAATTTTGGGATATGGCATTCCATGAATGGCAAGAAATGCATCTAATATATTTATGGCATCGATAAGGAAGAACTTTCTTTTCAATAATGATGACCCATTGGTTGGATTTTGAATTGAAACATTTCCTCCCATGTTAACAAAACAGAGGCGATTTTATCAGCCAATGAACAGTGCAACTAAAAATGTCATGCAGAACTGTGATTCAGTGGAAAGTATTCATAGTTTGCAGATATAGAAAATCAATTTCGAAATAAATACAGCTTTAAGAACGCCCGAGCCTAAATTATTAATTAAATTAATTAGAGCACCCAGTGCTCTTATTAAAAAGGTTGTAGTGCATGAAATATTAAAACTAAACAAGACAAATAATAGCACCGGTTGTTGATTCAGACATTTCTTAAAAACCAACTGTCTATACAAAACTGCAACTAAACGTACTCAGTAAGAAATCATTCACGAATTTTCTATCTGTATATATCGAACTTTGTGTGCATTTTCATGCATATAAAGCTTGCACTGCCTTTAAATCTTTCAGTTGTTTCTCTTTTCCTTTTCTGGTTTAGTTGTCAATGGCTGACCATTGGTGAAGTAAAGATTCTTCACTTCTTCACAGCTTTCTTTGCATTGTATGATTCTTGGCTGTACCCAAGCACAAACAATGAGGAGGGCTGAGCCCCCCATTTTTTTGAAGATTAAAAAGGGGGATTTCGGCCTTTCTGAGCCCCCCACCATTGCATCCCTGCTGGTACGTTTCTGGGATGCTCTGTACAAATTGATCTGTCGCCATTTCAAGCTGTCCCTTCAGCCACTCTGTTCACTGTACGCTTTTGTTTTCTCTTCTTTTTAGTGTATATTTTTTAACCAATGAGTCAAAATGCCGCCAAGTCTAGGCTTTTGATGAGCTAATTAATGTATCATGACATATTTAAATTCGTCGTGCAAGGGACAATTTTTTAGATCAATGATTGATATTTTTTTAAATAACTAGTTTTCTGCTTGTCGAGACCGAGCCTCCAATATGCATTTAAAATTTATGTCAGTTGATTTCCGGGAAAGAATCATCATTTGAATATTTTAGAGGTGTGTTTTTTGTCGTTAAAGGCTTTCTTTCAAATATATACAATGCTATTGCTAGTGGAATTTAGCTGATTAGCCATCATTTGTAACTTCTAAATCCGAATCATAATGAGGGAAATTTTGAGCTAAGAACCAAGTGACTTATTTCTGTCAAACAGACATTTTTCGGTTGTATTTCGTCGTGTATACTTTGAAGTAAGGGTCTTTTTCATACATTAATTTCTTTCGTGAGAAGATTGGAATATACTCTAGCCAGCTCAGCGATTCATTAAGATTTTTCAATGTTTCGGATGAGCCTGGTCGTCGTTCCATTTAGCAGTTTTAAAATCATAAACATAAAACTGAAAAATAACCGCTTTTTTGAGGACAGATGGTATTTGCTGTGTCAATTAAAATGAATTTAAACCTGCCATAAAGAACACAGATGGAATTTGCTGTGGTTCAAGATGGGAGATTGGCGATCACAATAGTTAGACAGGGGCGTAGCTAATGGTGGGGGGATATGGGGATGTCACACCCCCTAATATTTTCAAAAAGTTTTTATTTCTCAATATACAACTTAAGATCACTTATGATTAAATATAGATAATTATATTTTATATCTGTATATTAATTTAGATAAAATATATTACATCAAATGTTTTGTGTTTTTATTGAGGTCCTTATTAGTTAAATTTTCGGTAAATTCAAAGAAAACGGGAAATTCCGGGCAAAATATTTTGACACCCTTACCCCCCCTCCCGAATATTTGAGGTATCAATGCGCTCTTGAAGTTACATGATGTACAACGATGGCAGTCATGACGATGAAATAAGTCTGTAAAACACTATACGTCTGAAGGATTCTATTCCGTGTATTTTGGCCAAATATAGGGATTCCAAGCCTACACAATTTGCTGAATTCGTTTCTTATTACGTCAGATCTCGCTATGTTCAAGTGTGTTTCCTGATACAATTAAGATTATGAACAGTTTTTTGCGGCACAGAACTTGAAAATGGCTTTGAAAAAGCAAGCATTTTATAACAAATTGGCTAAAAGCTTTTTCGTCTTACACTTCTCACAGCATAAAACGTCAGAATAAGGGTCCGAAAGAACACGATGAAAAATATATATCCAGTTGTGGATCGAAATAGGCCAATCAGAAAAGCGTAAGCACAAGGCCAGTATAGTTTTCCAATCAATGCAGCGTGCCAACTGCCTAAAATAAATACCACAGGAGTCTAAGAGAGAAAACGAACTTCTTCAGTTTTTTCTTTTGAAAAGAAATAAAATGATTCCTTCCCTTTTTTAGAGGATTTGGTCGAAAAGTCTTACACTGGATTTCTTGCCAGTGTATATCGCAAGCCCACTTTTACCGGTCAGTACACACGCTGAAGTTCATTTGGCCCAAAACAAAGTCAACCTTGTCAAAACTTTAGTACATAGGGTAGTTATGATCTGCTCGAAATCTAAACTGCACGCTGAACTGGAAAAACATTAAGCAGGTCATTAATGTTGGCCGACCAAGACTTTGCATTCATGAGCAGATCGAGATTCATTAATGCCCAAAGCAGTCAACAATCTTGGTGCCTCCTCCTTTTACCAATGACCGAAGGCTAAGAAAAGGGGAACATGATATCAGGTTTGTTGATTTTTGTTTTGAAAGAAGACAGGTTATCAGAATCTGGGGTGCAAAAAGGGCGTTTCAAAGTTTACAAGCTCTAGGAAGGAAAGACGAGGAAAATTCAGAGTATATCTTGGGGAATCAGTGATAAAAGATAAGATCTCCTGGTAGCAATGTGCATGGAAATAATTGTCAAAAAGGGATTGGTAAGCAATAGCACGCTGAGGAGAATGAAGTTGCAGAGCTTTGTAAAGTTGCAGTTGTTGATGAGATGAATTGTATTTTACTGCAAAGATTTAGGTTTTGTAGAGAAGGCATAGAAAAGATTTAGAAGCGCCAACCCAGGTATGAGAGCAATGCACCAAGAAATCATGGCATTAGACTAATCGGAGATGATGCTGCCAATCCACCGAATAATAGTGCGTTGCAAACTACATAACTACATATAGTGTTTGGGATAACGAAGTTTTCTGCCAGACAAAATCAAAAACCTTAGGGGTGTAGGAGATCACTCTGCAATTACCAAAGGAGTCAATAACAGAACACCGAACGTGAGCAGCATGAGCTGGAAAGGCCCCAGTAGATATTGCTGACCAATGCCTTCACTAATTGGTTACTCAACAATAGACTAAAGCTCGGACCAGGTGTGCTGAAACTCCTATTACACCTCCTAGACCTGTCACTGAGTGAATACAAGCTGTTTCACTAGATCAAAAAAGTAAAATATATCGAAAATCAAAGAAAACTACTTTTACTAATTGTTTATCTGTTAGAATTTAGAGAAAGAATCAAAGAAAGGTGATTGGTATATTCTTACCAATGCAGTATCTCGGTTACCGTATACATGACATCTTAGACACAGAGTTCAGAGGAAAAATGTGACTTTGTTGAAGATCATATTGACCAACAGATGTCAGAGTGCAATACACTAGCAGTATCTATTTTGGTAGCCTAACCAAGAAGCAGAAAATTTAAATCAATATGTAATAGTTTTGTCGATTTCTTTTTCATTTACTAGAGAATATAACCTGACCAAGAAACATAATAATCACAGTTGTAGAGATAATTAATTTAGGGGTCTGGGAACAATCAAACATTCTAAAAATAGCATTTGGAGGCATTTCTCAGACTGGGTCCCGACCCGTCTTATTCAGCACCATCCTTGGATCACATGCCAACATAAAAGAACAATTTTGGGCGAAATGCTGGGTGAAATGTTGGATCGTTTGACTAGGGCTTTAAGCCTAGTGCACACTGTATAGTTTTATTGGCTATAGATGAACTATTTATGATTGAGGTGAGAAATCTTGCTTTATGCTATGATAAATACTGCCAAAGATTTTAATCGTGCACGGCAAATTCTGGGATCAAGCATGTTTGGATCACCGATGATCAAAGACAAAAATCACACTTGAAATCATTGAGGATTATTGTGACAACTAAGCATCTCTATCGTGCAAGGCACGTTTCCTGATGATATAAAACTAAAATGGCGGAGGAAGAAATAACAATCAGCCCGACGACATTTTTCAGTTTTATAAGACAATTAGGCGCAGTATTTTGTATAAAAATGTTTTCCTTGACTCTGGTTGTTGATAAACTATTCTCACTGTTTCTTGTAGCAATTCTAACAGCAAAATACTCTAGTCTTAGCGCTCCTTACATCTCTTTCTTCCGGTCATTTTAATAGACTATGGCCCTATTCGCACTGCAAATATGGTAATGTTTGCTCCTTACATCTCTTTCTTCCGGTCATTTTAATAGACTATGGCCCTATTCGCACTGCAAATATGGTAATGTTTGTCAAACCCGATATTCTCACGCCATTTAAGAAAACTTTTTCAAGATTGACAAAGTTTGTCAGACTTCTGTTCGCATTAGGCAGTTTTCTGAGATGTTGTATTGTTATCTAACACGTTATCAGGTTGCCATTAAGAAATTGTACCTTTTTAAATTGTGACATGATTTCAAATAGCACCCTGGGCTTTTTTATTGGTGTTAACATAATTCTGGCATGTCCGTCGAGTCACCCGCTGGTTAGCATATATTTTCACGAGATTGTGATGCTCCAGACACAGAATAGAGAGAGGTGCTCTCTGTTCTGTGCTCCAGAGCTCTACGACGGAGCCTTTGACCAATTAGTCGAAACGTTACAATTTGTCAGATTTAGGATTTTGCTGTTCGCACTCTACCAATTAAGCCACTTTCTGACAAACCCTTGCCGCCTTTGAAGATAGAACAATAAGGGATGAGCATTATCAGGTTTCTAGATGCAGTGCGAATAGGGCCTATATTACAATGGTCGGAAGTTGCTGTAGACAGTTCGATTAGCTTTTCGAATGTTATGGTTTCACGCATTGTAATCTGTTCTATAAGCTTGCCATTAAAGGACAAGTGACACACTTTTCACCCTATCTTTTCTTTTCATTTACTAATAGATCATCATTTAGAAGTAAGTTTTTCCTGGTTTAGAACAAAAAATTCTAATCAGGGGGCGCAGGGGGCGCGATTTTCCTTTATATCACGTGACCCTATGACGTACATTGTGATAACTCGGAATTTTCCTGTCATTAATAGAGAGTTTACGAAACACGACGCGACAGGTCCAGACGAACTGAATTCGGTTAGAAGCGTGTTGTAAACGTTAATATTGCACTGTATACCAGTAGCAGCAATAACAAATTATCACAATCTACGTCACGGTATCACGTGATTCATTTCCCGCCATAATTTGAAAAGGGTTTTTAAGTAGGAAAATGAAATCAGAAAGGAAAAATATTTCAACAGCACTCTCATACAGCATTTTACTTTAAGTTAAAAGAAGAAAAAAATTTGGCGCCAAAAGCGTGTCACTTGTCCTTTAAATTTTTTCTGTCTATAGTTCATGCATATTTCCGATGAACCTGGTCGTTCGTACATCCAGCTTTTTAAGAGTAATTCTTTGTTTTAAGTTCATTTATTCTAATATTTCAATGTTTTATTTCTATATGAGTTTATTTTGGTTTGATATTTAAATGTCATTCTTCGCAAGAAAACACAAGAGCTACAAAATCTCAGAACAGAACACTTGTCTTTATGCTTTCTACGATTTGTTGAACAGCCCTAGAGGTTTGTCGTCTTTTTTATTGTTTCATCGTTATGCATAAAATAAGCACCAGAAACGATTATTTTTAAGCTAAAGAACCCGTAAACGTCTTTTAGTACGTTATTGATCATGTTGACGACAAGGTCAGTTGGAACTATTTTGAATTATTCTGAATTTTCCTTAATTGATCCTTAATTGATCAGAAAAGATCCAGCACTTGAAGAAAACTGCCATACGTTTTTGTGTACATTCGATTTGTTTGTTCCCTATAAAAAAGTAACGAGAGACAAGAACCAATCTTCAATCAAATCTGACAACCAGTTAAATTCTACATCTATGTCTTGGACTTTTGAGCCTGGTCTTTTGAGCCTGGTCTTTTGAAGCCAGAACCTATCGAGCTTGGAAGGAAATATAAGTGTACGAGTAAAGACATTCGAAAGTGTCTTGCAATGGCTATATGTGTTTTTGAGATCATTGACGGCCAACGGGACGACCATTAGTGGGAATCCTGCTTCACAAACTCATCTGGGGGGAAAGTCCAATCCAGCTGTGACACAGTGGAGAGACAATAGCATGTGGGTGGAGAATGTTCAAAGCAAGCAATGACTAAGTCCATACTGTGGGAGAGAAGCCAATTAAACATGAGCGGAGCAAAGGAGCCATTCTTGAGGAGATCCAGATAATAAGCTAGCATTTATATTGTTAAGCGTGTTTGTGGGCCACAGAGATGTCGGCCATGACACTGCAGGATGCAGTTGAAAGAATTTGCTCAAACTGATTACAGTAGACGAAACAAAGTTCAGAACAATGCCTATGATATTGGCTCACTGTTTGAAAGGAAGGAGCAAATCTGATTGGACATAATTACGAATTCCAGGTGCTAGAACGTTTCTGATAATCACACTTGATCCTTTTTCTGAAGTGCAGAGAAATTCAAGGAAGATCAGCAGCTGATTTGACAATAAGGAAAATTCAAGCAAACTCCTAGACTCTTTTGATTCCTTGAAGTGACATGTTCACTCTTAATAAATAGCAATTAATGTCATACTGATAACAATAATTGACAATTCAGAGTACGGGAAAATAGTTCCAGTTGACCATGTCATCAAAATGATCAAAAACATACACGAAAACCTTAAGGATTCTGAAATCTCCAGAAATTGTCATGGGCACTTACTTTACATGTTCGACCGAACATATGGAACGATGAAGCTTTGCAACATCGTAGATAGCAACAAAACAAGTGTTTTGTCTGCACCAGCCCCGAGATTATTCAGTCATTGAGTCGACCTTAAACACATGTAGATAATTCAAGTCAAACGTCGCATTTAACACCAACTTCATTTTGCAATTCTATTCGACACATGTAAAATGAAAGGTTTGGTCCAAGCCTTATATAATTAGCTAAAATTACGATATGCGCGAATTCATAAGCATTCGAAATCCTAGTCAAACTGTCCTTACATCAGATCTTGACATTTGTGATTTGTTGGTGTCAATAGGATTGATATGCCATCAGGCAAGTGTTAGAGGGAGAAGAGTGGATGACACAAAATTCTATTGCTCAAGCTATTCTGTGTGATATTGACAGACCGATACTCTGACAGACCTGTACCAACGTCACCTTTTCGAGGGGTACCAAAACGCATGTTTCACAGGCACTGGACTCAATTGCAGACACCCAGAGTTCTCAAAGCTTAAAGCCGGCTGGATATGCTACAAGTCTCTCTTTTTACTTTTAGTAATCCGAAAAGGCTTCGTCAAGGCTACGTTCACACTTGGCCGATTCCGTTTGGAACTGCGCTAAAATGAGTACTGTTAGGCATTTTGCTTACACAACACCCGTCAGAACCATTCCAAATGAACCTGCCAGCCGTATGACCTGCGTGCTATTTTACAGGAAATTTCCTCTCTCTGAAAGAATGCACGCAGGCTTCTTTCCGTGCCGAA